CTTCCTTCCTTCCTTCCTTCTTTCCTTCCTTCCTTCCTTCCTTCCTTCCTTCCTTCCTTCCTTTCTTTTTCTTTTTTTTTGAGACAAGGTCTTAATCTTTAACTCAGGGTGGCCTTGAACTCACTATGTAGCCTAGACTGGCCTGAAACTCATTGTGATCCTCCTGCCTCAGCCTTCCAAGTGCTGGGATTACAGGCATGTGCCACCAAGCACAGTTTCCTACCATTCTTTAAGCCAAGCTGCTAACCCTCATTTTTCTCTTTCATGTTGTATCTCTCCCTCAGGTGCATCTGCACACATGCATGCATTCATTAATGCCACAGGCAAAAAGGGGAAAAGAGACAACATGTTTTCTGTCTTCGTTTACTCTGGAAAGTATTTATTGAGTCCTTCCCGTGTACCAGGTGCTGATGCAGTCCTGAGATAAGCAGTGCCCATGCGTGGTCTCCACCTCCATGAAGCTTATATTCTAGGCAATGAGCAAGTAAAGGAATGAACTTTAAAAATATTGGTGTGGAAACACACTCTCTAGAGAAGCGCTCGTAGGCTGTGATAGTGAGACCTGGCTGCCACTTCATGCAGAGTGTGTGAGGGGAACCTCCCAGAAGAGGTAATGAATGCATCCATCAGATGTGGCAACTGGGGACAAGATGCATCGGCCACGCTTGGGCCAGTGCCTATGCGCTTAAGGAACAGAGAGGAGGCTGGCAGGTGAGGCTTGGAGAAGGAGGCAGGACTAGATTGTGGAGGCCTTGCAGCCTGGGTGAAGGTTGAGACAGGATGTAGCCACTGAAAGCTTTTTTAAAACAAGACAGTGGTGTGAAGCTGTCCGTCTGACCCAGTTAAATGAGTCACAGTTCTCATGAAGTGTCCTAACGGTGCCTTTGCTCTGTGGGCCCCATGACAAGCACGGGGGATCTGGAGTGCTTGTATGGTACTTAACGATGCTGGGCATGTGCAGTTAGCATAGGTCCAGCTTAAAATCTATCTTTCCTTTTTTATTGTGATAAAATATACGCAAACCACTAAAATTTGGGATTTTAAAGCATATAGTATAGTGGTATTAAGTGCATTCGTGCTGTGGGGCAGCTGTCAAGAGTATGCATTTCTAGCACTGCTTTACCCCCTCAAACCAGAACTCTGTGGCCGTTAGTTATTCCACATTGCTTCACGCCCCAGCCCTGATAAGTTCTAGTCTTTTTGCTGTCACTGTGAATTTGCCTGTTCTGGATACTTTATACATCATACAGTATTTGTCCTTTTACACGTGGCTTGTCACTTAATATAATGACTTTAAAGCTCAACCAGCTTGGAACATGTGTCAAAATCTCATTCCTTTCTGTGGCCAAATGATTTCCCACTCTACGGGTGTGACACATTTTGGTGTCCTTCGTGTACAGGCCACGTATCCACCGCAGGCAGGTTAGAGCGTGGAAAGACCTTCCCAGAGACTTCCTCCAGTGGCGGACACATTCCCAAGCGTCTGAGAATCCGAGTGCGTCTGGAGTGGGTGTCCTGTCCGGTGTGTGGTGTGGAGTGGGCGCTGAGCCTCACGAGGTAGTTGGCCTTGCACCGCCTGAAAGGCCGAGGATGAACACAGGTTCTTCCCGCGCTGCCTCCCTCTCGTTTGGTTCTTTTCCCTCTCACTGCATAGATGTAGCAGTAAATGAGACTCCACAGAGCTTATCTGGTCATTTGCTTCTAAGCACAAAATCATTTCCTGCAAATGGACATGTAGCCCGTTCTTGAAATGCTGTTGAATTTCACCTGACCGGGGGTGGGTTGGGGGAAGCCCGAGGTCTCTGCTGGGTGACCCGGCGCGGTCCGTGCCAGACTGGCCTGAGAGTTTCTCCATGCATGAAGTGGTACAGAAACCTTTCTTGGAGGTTACACATTTTCCCTACTATCAGGCTAAGGAGTTCCTTTGTAATTCAAGTCTCACTTCCTCCTGGCTACTTGTGCTGGAAGCCTGTCCCCCCCCCTTCCCCGCCCTCATAATGTTCCTGTGCTTCCTGGGCTCCAGCTGTGGTATCTGTCACCCCTCCGCCCTCCTGTGGTCCAAAGCAGATGGATTGCCTGTCTCCTGTGGCTTGGTTTTCTTTTCTTTTTCCTTGGAACCAACGCCTTGCTTGACAGAGAATCCCTTCCCTCTGGTGTCCAGGCTGGCCCCTAAGAGCCGATCTGCTGTGGCCTCCAGAGAGTGTGGTTGATGTATTTTAGGGCAAGCTGTCTCCTCTTTCACCAAGAAATCAACAAACTGGTTGTCACCTGTTCCCTTCTCAGCCACCGGCTGTGTAAGAGGATAAAGTCCTACTGCATCCATCTCCCCGGAGACACGGGGCCACTCATGGCCATTTTTGTTTTTCAGAACAATAAACCTGAAAAATCCCGTGCTCCAGCAGGTGCTGGAGAGGAGGAATGAGGTCCTGTGTGTGCTGACGCAGAAGATCGTGACAACGCAGAAGTGTGTGATATCTGAGCACGTTCAGATTGAGGAGAAGTGTGGCAGCATGGTAGGGTTCCATACCAAGATAGTGCAGGTGTGTATGGCCGGGGCGGACGAGTCAAAACTACAGCACCAGTCCTGTCCAGGCCGTGGGGACTTTGATCTGGAGCCCTTGTGAGTGGTGTCTTCATTAGTCAGAACTCTTTACTGTAATGCATTCACAGAAATACAACTCAAATTGGCTTAAGTGGCATGGATTTATTGGCTTGTGCAGTGGAGACATTTAGGGCAATCTGACTTCAGTCACTGCTGGATCCAGGCCTCCAGGATGTGGTGGACTGCCTTCCTTCACAGAGTTGATCCCTCAGATAGACTCTCTTCTGGTGGTACAGACAGCTCCAGGCTTTCGTCAGATTTGCTGCAAACTCAAGGGCCTACAAGGGAAATAGTTGAGTTGAATGGAATTTCTAGCTTTAGTTTTTTAATGAGTCTCCTTACTAGTTTCCAAAATGGTTATATTAGTTTACACTCTCACTGGCAGTGTGGAAGGGTTCCTTCACCCTCACAGCCTTGCCAGCATTTGTTATTATTTGATTTCTTGATGATAGCTATTTTTTCTGGAGTAAGATGGAATCTCAGTGTTGTTTTATTTTGTATTTCTCTAAAGGCCAGAAATGTTGATCATTTTTTCACGTATTTACTGGCCATTTGTACTTCTTCTGAGAAGTGTTTATTCATTTCAAGATACCCATTTTTTTGATTATTTTGGGGTGGTCTAATTTTGTGAGTTTTTTATATATTATAGATACTAGTCCCCTGTCTGAGAAATGGCTGGCAAAATGTTTTCCCACTCTGTAGGTTGTCTTTCACTCTGTGAATAGTTTTCCCTGTTGTGCAGAAAATTTTATATGATCCCATTTATTTATTTTTTTGGATACCGAAAAATCAAACTCAGGACCTCGCGCTTGCCAGGCAGGTCCTGCGCTGCTAAGCTATATCCCCGGCCCAATCCCATTTATTGATTCTTGGTGTTACTTCTTTCAGTGTTTTGGGTTTTTTTTGGTACAGGGAATTGAACCCAGGGCCTTGCGCTTGCCAGGCAGGCCCTGTGCCGCTAAGCTACATCCCTGGCCTGTTGGTGTTATTTCTTGTACAATTGAGGTCCTATTCAGAAAACCCTTGCCTATTCCTATATCTTTAAAGAATTTTGCCTATTTTATCTTCCAGCAGATTCAGTATTTCTGTTTTAACATTTTGATCTTTGATCCATTTTGATTTTAGTTTAGTACATGGTGAGAGCTATGGGTCTAGATTCAATCTTCTGCATGTGGGTAGCCAGTTTTCCCAGTACCATTTGTTAAGGAGACTCTTTCTACCAGCATAAATTTGTGGTCCTTTGGTCACAGATCAGGTAGCTGAATGTGCTTGGGGTTGTTTCAGCATTATCTGTTTTGTTCCATTGACCCACATGTCTTTAGTTTTGTTTTTTGTTTTGCTAATATCATGATTCTTTTATCACTGTAACTCTGTAGTAGAACTTGAATTCTGGGATTGTGATGCCTCCTGCTTTGGTCTTGTTGCCTAGGATTGCATTCCCTATTCTGGGTCTCTTCTGGTTCCATGGAAATTTTAGGGTTGTTTTCCCTAGTTCTATGAGGAATGCTGCTAGGATTTTGATTGGGATTGTGTTAAATCTGTACATTGATATTAGGAGTACGGCCATTTTAATGACACTCATTCTGCCTATCCAGAAACAGGGGCTCTTTCCATTCTCTGATGTCTTCTTTGATCTTCTTCAGAATGCGGTAGTTTTCATTGGAGGGGTGCTTCACTTCCTTGGTTAGGTTAATTCCTAAGTATCTGATTCTCCTTGGTGCTGTTGTGGATGGTGTTATTCCCCTCATTTCTTCACTGGTGAGTTTATTATTGGTGTATAGCAACACTATTGATTTTTGAGCATTGACTTTGTATTCTGCTATACTAATGAATTTGGTTATTAATTCTAGGGATCTTTTGGTGGAGTTTTTTGGGTCCTGTATGTAGAGGATCATGGCATTTGCAAATAATGGTAATTTGACTTTTCCCTTTCCCATATATATCTTTTCTTTCTTTCTCTTGCTGGATTGTTCTGGCTAATGTTTCAAGAACTACATTGAACAGGAGTGGTGATAGCAGGCATCCTTGTCTTTTTCCTGATTTTAGAGGGGAATCTTTTGGCTTTTCCTCATTTAATATGATGTTGAGCATTGGTTTGCACAAATGGCTTTTATCAGATTGAAATAAAGCCTCTTCCTTTTTCTTTCTTTCTCTTTCTTTCTTTCTTTCTTTCTTTCTTTCTTTCTTTCTTTCTTTCTTTCTTTCTTTCCTTCCTTCCTTCCTTCCTTCCTTCCTTCTTTCTTTCTTTCTTTCCTTCTTTTTTAAATCTTTCTGAGACAGGGTTTTGCTATGCAGTTCAGGTTGTCTTCAACTCACTTTTTAGCCTAGGCTGGCCTTGAACTCACAGCAATCCTCCTGCCTCAGCCTCCCAAGTTCTGGGATTATAGACATGCTCCATTCTATACCTGTTTTCTTCAGGGCTTTTATCATGTGTAGACATTGAATTGTATCAGAGGCCTTTTCTGCATTGAGATGATCATGTGATTTTTGTCCTTACTTCTGTTCACATGATTCTCTGTATTACATTTATTGCTTTGTCCATGCCCACTTTGATAGGTGGGGAAAGCAGTCAGACTTAGCTCTGTCCAGGGCATGGGCAGCAGGGTACAAGTTCACGGCTTAATGCTGGCACTTTCAAATCCAGCTGTTTTTGTACGCAGCACAAGCCTGGTCTGGCTTCTCACCACAAAGGTTAGGGACCCGTGTCCTTCTTGGCCTGAGCTTAAAGTTATCAGGGGTTCTCTGTCTAGCCTGCTGCTTGTCCACATCTGACTCCTGTGACTGTCTTTCCCCCAGTTACTATGAGAGAGTTAACTGGGAACCTTGAAGTGAAGTTGTCTTTCAGCTGTTCGGTCCCTGGCTTATATAACCAACCCCTTCCTGAAATGGTGCCCGATTAAGCACTCTGTGGGGATGCTACACTGGATTCCCTCTCTGGTGTTGCCCACTGTGTTGGGGGGAGTTACCTTGTAGCAAAACCTGTGCTGCTTTTGCAGTTCTCAATATCACTGGGCTCCTCCTAGAGCCTGGTTCTCCGGCCAGGTCCACCGTTTCTCTCTGGAGCTGCTAACCCTGCTAACCCTGGATGCTGAGCTTGCATCTGTGGAGGCCGCTTCCCCCAGGCTCAGCTTCCAGACTGCTTCGTGCTTTTATCTGCATTGTGGTCCATATCTCCAACTTCTCTGTAACTTCTAATTTTCCTGTCAGTTCTCTTCTGATTCCCACTGACCTACTTTTTTTCTTCACCAAGTTGTTATTTTCTAGGTGCATGGACTCCAGATCTCGGGCCGACTTTGCTGCTGATCACTAGTCTGCCTTTTTCAAGAGGTCATGCCTCATTTTCTTAGAGACTTCCTTCTTGGAAATTGTCTCTGCCTTTTGACATTTTCTAGACAACCCAGGAAGTTGGTGTAGATGTAGCCTGGAGCTAAGGACTGTTAGATGTGGGCACATGGTCTGGCTGGACAGCAGTGAGGACAGAGGTACCAGTGGGGGATGGCTTAGGTCACCTGTGGGATTCCTGCCCATGGGCACCACCCATGGGAGTCTGGGAGCCCCTGAGAGCAGCCCTCCCAATATTTGTTGATCTAAAGTGACACACTCTGATCAGGAGTGCTGCTAAAAACAGTTCTGTGGTCTCCAGTATAAGGCCAACAGACAGATTTTCAGTGTCCTCTGCCCAAGACATTGGGCATTGGTGCAAACCAATGCACCCCACAAAAAGGGCTATTTTTGCTTTTGAGAAAGGGTCTCAATTTGTACTTTAGGCTGGCTTTGAACTCATTATGTAGTCTGAGCTGGCCTCAAACTTGTGGAGATCCTCCTGCCTCAGCCTCCTGAGTGCTGGAATTACAGGCATGCACCAAAATGGCCAGCAGGATGGGCTTGTATTTACCAGTGTTTGAAGGAGACTTCCCAGCATGACTTCCCAGCCTTTCCTGCCTTGTGGGCCCAGCTTGTCCTCCCTCCAGCCTCTCCTGGCTGCCCTCTCTTCTTAGGTTTACCAGCCCAGAGTCCTATCTGCTGGGGTTGGAGTGACTCAGAAAGGTTCTCCCAGTCAAGCTTCAAGCCTCTTTGGGATTTCCATTGTGATTTCTCAGTTTTCCTAGGTGAGGGAGATTGGGATGTCATCTTATCTCATTTGTAATCATGTATCACTTACGTGTGTTCTCAAAGAGGCATCGCTGGGTGGTTATGTTGTGCAGACATCACCTTACGTGCTTCTACAGACCTAGGTCTAGGCCACTCACTCATCACGGCTTCTGGACATTGTCAAGAGACCCTCAAATGGCAAGCACGAGGCTGCTGCCCATGTGACACGGCATGCTGTTTCACAGTACATTTTTTATAAGTAGGAATATACTCTAAATAAAAAGTACAGTATAGTAAATATGTGAGCTAGTAACAGTAATTGTCATCAAGTATTTTGTACTGTACATAATTGTATGCGCTGTGTTTTTATGGAATGGCGGTATGGTAAGTTTGTTTACGCCAGTGTCAGCACAAGCCCGTGAGTGATACACTGAGCAGTCCTGCTGAGATACGTGGCACATCGCTTATCTTTATTTCACTCTGAATACCTAACTCCCCCATGTCCCATGCTCTGGAATCTGACCTTTGTGCCCCCAGGTTGGCCACCGTCTGTGCAGTACACCCTGATGCCAGCAAGGATGAAATCTTTACTTGTGCCAGTGGCTCCTCTTCCCCCTCAGTTTGAGGGCTGAGAGCTCGACATCCTTACGAACAGGGCAGAGGCTGGACGCAGTGGGAAGCTGGGAAGGGCCAGGGAAGGTGTGAGCGCCCGGGTGAGAGTGTGCTCTCTCGTCCGCAGGTGTCAGCGATGGAGGATGGGAATATCCTCAAGGACAGCAGTGTGGTGCTGGAGATCCCGCCGGCCACCACCATCGCCTATGGCATCATCGAGTTGTATGTGAAACAGGACGGCCAGTTCGGTGAGCGCCACCTCCTAAGAATGCTGAGGCCCCACGTCATGGGCCCCTGGGGCACACATTGTCGAGGATCCCCCTCTGCTTCAGGCTCCTGGGGCGAGGCAGTAGAAGAGCTTAGGAGAGGGAAGAGGTAGATGCAGAGCTTAGGAGTGTCCCCCGGCCTGGTCCCTTGGGGGTGGTGAGAGATACCGGGGGCAGCACCTTCCCTCTGCCCCAGACATCGGTGTGGGCAGAGGGATAAGGTGAGTCTGCAGTGAGACAGGCTGGGTGCCAACTTCAGCCCCCGGACTCCTGTGAGATCTCAGGCAGGCTGCTGAGTTTGCTGTTTTAGCTCTCCACATCTGGAAGGGGAAAGACAGTCCCTGAGGGACTGGTGTGAAAGAGGATTAACACATGCACAAGGGATTGTAATTCGTATGTCTTCCTACCAGGTTGCTTGAACCACCGGTAGGAAGTACCTGCATGACTGTCCCACCAACTGGCTTTTTATTAATTTTATTAGTAAAAAAGTGATAAAAGTGATTAGATCTCTTTGTACCACCAGCGGTACGAGCTGTCTGATGGGACAATCACGCATGTACCACGGGTGGTTCAAGCCAGTGGGACTATGGTAAAACTAGGTGAGACATAGGAAGTGCAGCAGTTAGCATCCCATTTTTTTTTTTTTTAGTATTGGGGATTGAGCCAGGGCCTTTGCACTGATCTATGTCTCCAGTGTGCCCCTCCTTTTACTTTTTATTTTGAAACAAAATCTAAGTTGCTAAGTTCAAACTTGTGATCCTCCTGTCTCAGCCTCCCATAGTGCTGGAATTATACATGTGTGCCACTATGCCTGGCTTCACCTTATCTATTAATCTTATCCCCATCATTGCTGTCCTATCTTTCTTTTCCTAATGCAAAACTAGAGTTGCTGAATTGGACCTTCCTCTGCTGATCTGAAGTATGTCATTCTTACCACTTAAAGAAAGGGCTTTGGTTTACTGATGTCTGCTCTTCTTAGATGTTCATAGCCGCTCCCCTCTTGGGCCTGATGAGAAGTAGTCATCTTGAACCCAAGAAGACTATTGGGCTGTTTCTTGGGGACACGAATGAGTAAACATAACAACAAATTTTGCTACTCTTTTGGTGTAAAGATGTTATGGTTATGTTTATAGAAGTTGTTTTTAGAGATTCGCACTGAGCTTTCAGAGATAAAATGGTAGCACGTCTCTCTTGCTTTGAAGATGGAGATGAGTGGAGAATAAGGTGGGGTGGAGGCAGAGGGAAGTGGCCAGGCTGCCCGTCCGTTAGGCTGGTTAGCGGGTGCGTGTGGGCTCACTGCTCTGCTCTCTAGGGCACCCTGGCAGTTTCCATAACAGCACAGTTGTAAACATCTGTGCCCTAATAGCCCGTGCGCGCCCCGTCCTGCCTCTTGCCTTACCCCACTGGTTTTCAGCGAAGTAGGCTGAAGATGAGTCCTTCGTGAGGTGACTCTGTAACCACCAGGCCCACATCAGTGTGTTCCCACACCACTTGGCTGGGAAGACAGAACGCATCAGTGAGTGTCCTTGTGTGACCGCTTCAGCAAGCTCATGGGCCAGTAAGGATCTGCAGGGGCATTGAATGAAACCACGGAACTTCCCTCTCCCGTTCAGTAGATGCAGTAGCCTATTCTGGGGCAGCAGAAGTGATTTTCATAAGGTGATATAAAGAGGAGGTGACAGTTTTAGGACATTGGTCTAGAGAGGTAGGTCAGGGACCCCTGAAGTACCGGGAACCCCGGCGTTACGACTTACGTCCTTTAGGCACGTAGCTCCTAATTTGAGTCTTCCCAGGCAGTTTCAGCATTGTTGCTTGATTCACACTCTTTCAAAGGCTTGTCTTCCAAACAAGCCGTGCTGTGAAAGTGATCGAATTGTTCCGAGTGTGATAAGCAGAATTAGCATGTGCACTTGTGGCCTTCAGCCCAACGCCGATCCCTTGACGGTCCCGTGCAGCCCTGGTGCTCAAGGGTCAGCGTGTCACTTTCCCTCTCGCTTACTGAGGCAAAATTGACAAATAGAAATTGTGAATATTCAAAAAACGCAATTTGCCGAGTTGATGTCGTGTACACTGTGAAGAGCTCACCACAGTGAAGCTACGCAACACATCCTGCCTTCACTTAGTTACCATCTGCGAGCTGTGTAAGAGAACACTGAGAATCTATGCCCTTAGCAAACAAGCTACGTAAGATAGTATTTTTAGTTCTTAACTGTACATACAATTTGTCTCAGAATGCGTATACTTTGAACATTGATCAAATCAAGGGTACTTAACATACCCATCGCCTTGTACATTTACCATTTTATGGTGAGAGCATTGGGATATCTGGCATTCTATTGTTAACTGTAGTCACCATTTGTGCATGGAACACCAGGGCTTAGTCCTCCTAACTGTGACCTTTTATCCATTTACCTCCCTCTACTCAACCCTTTCCAAGTCTCTGGGAACCACTGCTCCGGTCTTTGTATGAGGTCAGATTTCAGATGCCGCCTATGAAGGAGGACTTGTAATATTTGTGTGTCCAGTGTGTTTCTCTGTCTGGTGTATTTCATTCAGCATAATGTTTTCCAAGCTTAACCATGTTGTCTCAAATGATAAGATTTCATTCTTATGAATGGCTGAGTAGTATTCCATTATGGAGATGTAGCCATAGTTTCACAATTTATTCTTCTGTTGTTGGGTAATTGGAATCCAAGTCCTGGCTGACAACATAGTTTTATTAACTGTTATCACCAGTCTGCATGCTAGACCCCCAGAAGCTGCTCATAACGGAAACTCTGTATCCTTTGCCCGACATCTCCCCTTCCCCTCCCAGCCCCAGGAAAATACCGTTACACTCTGCTTCTGTGAGTTTGGCTGATTTAGGGTCCATATGTAAGTGTGATATATAGTGTCTGTCTGGCACACGGTGTCATCCAGATTCGTCCATGTTGTCCTAGATGGCAGGAATTCATTCTTTGTTACGGCTGAATAGTATTCTATGTACCTATGTATTCTATGTATTCTACGTACCTAAGTATTCTATGCTTATGTACCACATTTTCTGTGTCCATTCTTTTGTCAACACACTGTTCCCATATCTTAACCACTGTAAATAAGTATTTTTTGCAAGGCCTTTGAAGCCTTGGCTCCTACCAGAGGATGACCATGAACACTCTGAGGACCCTTCGGTGGCTGGAGGCCCGGCTGTGCTAGCTCCCTCCCCTGCCTGCAGCTCCTGGGGTGGCCTGTGTCTCCCAGGAGGGTGTCTTTCTTCTCATGCCTTTTCTGGCATGGTTTGTGTTTATATTTCAGTTTTGAAGCCTTTTATCTTTGTTGGCTTCCGCTCTCTTTGAAAATCATCTCCTCTATGTGCGGCTGAGGGGAGGTGTCCTGGGGCTGCTTTCCCACAGCCTGCCTACGCTTCCTCCACGGTCCTCTCCGTGCGGAGCGTGACGCTCTGTGGTAGCCCCCGTTGGGGTGACGCACAGCCTGATCGTAAACCAGTCCTGCTTTTCCCCTTCTCCTCGTGCCCATCCGTGTTTTCTGTCATCCTGCCACACAGTGGGCTGATTCAGCTTCATAAACAAACCTGCGGGGGCCGGAAGGCCTCTCGTGGGGTCACATGGACCTGCCTTGCTGTCCTTTGAAACGCGGAGAGGCCTGACCCTCCCTTGTCTGGTCGACTGGCTCCCAGCCCCCCAGGGACAGTGTGAACCCTTTCTGCAACACTTACAGCCAACCAGAAAGGTCCGCTATCATTTTGAACTTTAGCCCTGCACTGTTGCATAGTTTGGTATTTGCCAGTGTCTCTTCCACTTGTACTTTGATCCTTTGTCCCGAGGCTGTGAAACTGTTTCCTGCCTGGCCCGCAAATCTGCCCTTTCTGCTGTCCCACTGGCGCACACCAGCACCTTCCTCAGCTCTGCCAACCATTCCGGACAGCCTGCTTCTCTGAATAGTGCCCCATCTGTTCCATCCAAGCAGTGGAACCGATACGATCATTTTAAAATAAAAGTCTGATCATTTCACTCACCTGCTCAAACTCCCTCTGTGGTTCCTTCTGTCTCAACAATGAAGTCTGCTGAAGGTGTGGGTCCCAAGCCTTCCTGCTCTTCACCAGCGATCCCTTCAGTTTTAACTCACTGTCCCGGAAAACTCCCCACTGTGATCCTGGAGTCCTGCCGGGGCTGCCCCTGCTGCCCAGGGACTTCTGAACATGGCTGCCTGGGCACTGCTTCGTCACAAAGCCTTTTCTGGGTCTCCTTCACCGTGGTGGGGTCCTGGACCGGAGACCACAAAGCCCTTGAAAGTAAAGGGTTCGTTCCAGTGTGGACACCCTAGGAAGTCACCCTCCCCGGGCTCTGTCCAAGTGACGTAGGAGAGCACAGGGCGCTACTGCGTAATGGACAGTCTCCTTCTCCAGCGCTGGAGATGAAGCCGGGCTTTGTGTCTGCACCTGCGTAGTCCTCCAACTTCTCTGAGTCCACTGGACAGTGACTGAGAAGATCAGCTGTGCTGGAAACAGTGCAGAGAGGTGAAGTGAAGGCTTTGAGAAAACGCCAAAGTGGGAAGGTCACTCTCACCCTTCTGATACCCGAACCAGGGGATCAAACCTAGGAGGATCTTCCTGACCCTGCCCTCTGCCCGTGACAGATCCTCGGGTGACAGGTGCCCTCCCTCTGCTCGAAGGAAAGGGGCATCTTCAGCCCCGAGGATGCAGCGGCACAGAGGAGGGTCTGCGCACCCTGGCCCTGCCGGGTCCCCTCAGCTCAGCACCGCAGGTCACACTCTTCTGTGGGTTCTCGACTCCCCTCCTCATCAGCCCTAGCTCACAAGCCCTCTGCTGCGACTTTCTCAGCTCTGAATTCTCTTGGGAAGGCTTCTACATGGGTGAAGCTTATTTTCAATGGATTTATATACTTTTCTCTCATTAATCTTCAATCTGACAGGTCCTTAATCTGACTGGTTACTAATCTGTCTTTGGTTAGGTTCCACCGTGAACCTAAGTCACATTTTTAATTCTTTAGCCTTTGCTTAAGGACCCAAATTATGCCATAGAAGCATCAGTTTTGAATCTTGAGCTCAGTGTTTTTGAACAACAAAACACATAACAATTTATTTTTATTAACAGTTTAGATACTTTAGCTGAGTTGTTATTATGGAACTGTCGTGAATACTGCAGCTCCTAATAACAGCTCCTAACTTCCCCTTTGCTTTCCCACTGAGTTCTTCTGAAGCAAATCGTAGGCATTATATTATTTCTCATATATATATATATATTATACATAATATATATATATAATATAATATATATTTCATCACCTATAAGCAGTAAAGCTTATGAAAAAGACTAGTTTTGCCTTTGTATAAATTGATACATGTAGAAAGTATTTTATGACTGGTTGTTTTCACTCAAGGGAATGTTTGTGAGATTAATTCAGATAATTGCAGAAATAAGTAGTTTTTATTGCAGTGTATCATTCTCTTTATTGAGAGTAATTAAGACTCCTTACAAACATAAGCATATAACTCCTTGTAACCATGTACTGATGTATATATGTATGTATGTATGTATGTATGTAGCTAGGTACTGGAGATTGAACTCAAAGCCTTTGTACTGAGCTGCATGCCCAGTCCTTATTTTGAGACAGGTCTCACGAAGTCGCTAGGTTGCCAGAGCTGTGCTCAAACTCAAGCCTGCCTCAGCCTGCCAGAGTGCTGGCATTCTAGGCATGTGCCACCACTCCCAGCTCTGATGATAATTCCTTAATATTGTAAGTGTTCAAATCTCCACAGTTGTTTTATACATAGTGGGTTTCGTTCGTCTGATTAGTTTTTCAGAGCAGCATAGTGAAGTGTTTCCAGTGAATGAAAGATTGCTTCCTACATTTCAGAAAATATACCCCAGAAAGTTTCATGTGAAAAACAGCCGTTGCTTCTGTATTTTTAAGGAATGGCTTGGTATTCAGTCAAGCAGGAAGTATGATTTATGGGGAAGGGGATGGGTCTTTTGCTGCACCCCAAACCAGGTAGTGAAGGGACTAACACATGCGATGGCTGGGCGGACTTTGGGCCTGGCTTGTCCTTTTCCTGTGCACTACAGAATTCTGCCTCCTCTATGAGAAGCACGGTGGCTTTCAGCAGGAGCGGAGATCTGACCCTGTCTATCTGGACTACCTGGCCTATCGAGAGTTTGCTTTCAAGGATGTGCCGGATGCCAGCCACGGGATGTCTTCCCAGGATGGACTGTTAAGTGTTTTAAAACAAGGTAAGGCCACCAGAGTGGGACGTGGCCAGTGGGTGGCCGAGTGAACGCTGAACCCCAAGGAATGGTATGCCCTTCCGGATCACTAACTTCTCACGGAAGTTAGTGATGGAAAACATCTGAAAAGAGGGTGGCCTCTGAACCCTGGCCCACTCAGCAAGAGTTTCCTGTGAGATCTTACAGAACACCAGGTCTTGGGTGACATATTTTGAGGACGGGGTAGAGGCGGGAGATTGAGCAGTGAAGCAGTCAAGGGCCTGGGGTTTTCTTTCATTGTGACACAGAAGACTAGCTTGCCAGCAGGGATCGAGAACTCAGGTTTTGCCTGTGTGTCGTATTCCAGGCTTCATTGCCAAGACAAGCCATGCTTCGTCAGCCTCTTGGAGGCCCCTTATCCACCTGGCATGAGCCACATGCGCCACGGAGGAGAAGAGGCAGGACTCGCGAGGTGCCTGCAGCAGTTCTCCCCACAGCATGTTGTGTTTTAAACAGTTGCTTTGGAGCGCGGAGGGAGTACAGTGTACGTTAGGAGATGGGCAAGGAAAAGGAGAAACCAACTTGGTAAGTGCTTTGGAAAAGGAGCCAGGAACCATTCAGTGTGCTTCCCTGTAGAAGGCAAGGAGAGAGACCCCTCAGTGAGGCTTCAGTGAGTCCTGAGTTCAAGTATGTTGTGTTAGAAGACAGGGAAATGAAAGTCCAATCTTCAGCATCTCCCTGGGAGGCAGCTGAGCGGGCCTGTTGGCCACCTTCTGGGGTAGCAGCACAACAGCAACAACTGTGCGACCTGGAGCTACACTGCCCAGAAGTGACAAGTCCCAGGCTTCAGCTTTCTTATTGCATCCTTCCCTACAAGCCTGCGCTTCGAGTCTACCCTAGAGGTACCCAGATTCTAGACCAACCGGCTCAGCTCTTTTCTTCAGGCTGGGGCTGCTGAAGACCTACTTGGTCACTGTAGTTACATGTCTCTCTGGGGCTTTCTAAAACTACTGCGATTGAAGATCTGCAGAGATAGCGCATCAAGGTATTAGTATGCAGTGATGTGTATGACGGCATTGTTTTAGCAAATCTTTTAAAGAAAATTTCCACTGGGCTTAATTTACTAAAAGAATCTGACAACCTATTTAAAAAAAGAAACAAAAAGAGAGAGAAAAGGATTGTAAGGGGAGAGGTTCCCAAGCATCCTGCAGAAGTGAGTAGCACAGTGGGATGGACTCCAGGAGCAACTCGGGCATGTGTGCAGGAGGAAGGAGGGAAAAGAGGCGAGGCTGAGCTTGCTGTGAGCACAGGGTGCCGGCCCCTCTCAAAAACATGCCGCAAGTGTGGAAGGATGTGAAATCTGCAGTGTATTTCATGAAAAGGCATGAAAATGTGTGCATTTTAGAATTTGCACGGCTCTGAAGCATTGTAAAAGTAGACTTTAATAATTCATCCTTGATAATTAAATGCTACAGAAATCATACTAAGGAGGAGCCTAAATGACTGTTCTAGAAATTAATTGATTAGGCTTAATTAACATTTAGTGAGTCAGAGAAGAGCAAAGCCTGGTCTTTAAACTGGGTCCTTTCCTTTCTCTTCCCTCCCTTCCTGTTTAGTTTTCCTGGTTGTAGTCAAACATAAAGGATAGTGTTTACCTCAGTGTCCCTTAGTTCCACGTTCCATCATTGACTGACTGACTGTAGGTGGAAATATCTACAAGACAACTGGTGATACTCAGCAGTGAGAAGCGGGCGATGCTGTCTCATGATGGGAGCTGCACACAACAGTCACAACACTGGGTCTGCTCTGTTTTCACAGCCACTCTGCTGCTGGAGAGAAATTTCCATCCCTTCATGGAGCTGCCAGCGCAGCAGCAGATGGCTCTGTGCACCCTCCTGCAGGCGGTCCTGTTTGATGAGGAACTCCTGGTGGTCCTGGAGCAAGTGGTGAGACAGGGACCTCTCCAGGCGCGGTTTTCACTTGGCTGATGTGCAAAGGTGCACAGGCCACAAGGCCAGGGCTTTGACCTAGCATGAAACCATATGAGGTTTTCCCACGTTTTGCCCTAAACCTTGTGTACTTTCATTCTTAGTTACAGGTCTTTAATTTTCTAACTGCAAAAAGGTAGCTGACATCAGGGAGAGAGGATGTATGTTTCCTAGGGCTGCTGCAACAAATGACCACAAACTTGGGGCTTAATATACAGAAATTAATTTTCTTACAGTTCTAGGGGTCAGAAGTCAGACATCAAAGTGCTAGCAGAGCCATACTCCCTCTGGAAGACCTAGGGAAGAACCTTTCCTTGTGTTCTGCAGTGTCTGATGGCTCCTGACACCTGTGCCTTGTGGATGCATCACTCCAATCTCTGCTCTGTCTTCATATGCTCTTCCCTCTATTTCCTTTACTTTTTTTTTGTTGTTGTTTATTTATTTATTTATTTAATTTTTTTTTTGGAGTATTGGGGATTGAACCTAGGGCCTTTACACTGAATTGAGGTACAGCTCTCTTTAGTTGAGATAGTCTTGCTAAGACATTAAATTGCCCAGGCTGGGCTTGAACTTGCATTGCTCCTGCCTCAGCCTCCCAGAATACTGGGATTATAGACCTGCGCCATCAGGCCTGGCTTCTCCTTTACTGTATTTTTTTGTTCACTTTTTGAGACAGGGCCTTGCTGTATACTTCAGGCTGGCCTCAAACTCATGGCTATCCTCCTGCTTCAGCCTCCTGAGTGCTGGGATTACAGCGATGTACCACCACGTGTGGCTCCTTTACTCTTTTGTAAGGATGCTATCACTAGATCCAGGACCCACCCCAGTTTAGGATAATCTCATTGAGATCATCACCTTAATTATATCTGCAGCAACACCTACTCAACATAGGGTCACAAGTAAATATATTCTGGGGGGCTATGTAGAGGGGTCCAAGTGAACCTGTTCTGTTAAGCTCAGGGAGAATCAGGCCTTGAACCTGTTTTGCAGCAGCGAGATTTCCTGGGAGAACAACTTCCTTAACTATTAGCTGTGCAAATGGTGAGGGACATACCAGCTGTTTACTTTCCAAATGCCCAGATTTTCCACACTTAAAAAGGCCCAGGTTTTAGAAATCTTTTTTTCTATAGTTTTGTTTTTTCTTTTTCTATAGGAGAGTTGAAATAATTGACTGACTACTTTATGATTTTTAGGAAAGCATTCACATTATTTTTCCTTCTTGAAATTTGATTGTGCTGGAAGAGCTTAGGTACCAGAGATGGAACTTGCAGTTGTTGAAATAGTGCAACAACCCAGGACATTTTTGCATTCTGGAGGGTGCTGAGCTTAGCCCCAGGGAGTACACACATATTTCAAAAAGGCTGTTGCTTTTTACTTCCTAAAATAGCTCCTGAAAGGAAATGTCAGGCCGGCCGTCTGTGACAAGAGCATTAGATGCTGGAGGAGTATGCTGCTGGCATGGTAGAGGGCAGACTCTCAGACAAGTAGATGTAGAGATGGGGGCCACAGATGGGGAGCTGGCTGGGTGGTCAGAACTCGCTTGCCTGGCAAGGCTACCTAGCCTCACAGCTGGCCCTTTGAGGATGTATGAGGCTGCTTAGGGCTGGCTGGAATGTGCGGAGTTAGGAGGGCTGCATTTTTAGAGCTTGAGGACCATGGGGGGCTGATGCTCTTATCAGTTCTGTGTATATCCACTTGTCCTTTGTCTCTTGTGTGGCTTAAAAGACTGCTCTTTTCTGGGTCTTTCCAACAGTCCCCATGTACCTCCTTCCCTCTTTGCAAAAGGATAGTACTTGGGCAAGGCTCAGCTTACTGTTTCCTTTTGGAGAAATTTAAACCTGGGGATAGGTAACATCACAGAAAAGGCCCAGCATTTGGGAGCAGATGCGGGTTTGTGGGGTGTGTTTGGTGGGGCAGATGGCCCAGGGTGGGCACACCTCATGGGCCTCAGGCTGCACCATAGTGTCCTTTCCTTGTCCCCCTGCCTTGCAGTGTGACGACATGGCTGGCGGCGTCTGGTCCCAGCAGGCAGCGCTGGCAATGGGGGAGTTGAAGCCCCCTCAGCAGCAGGACCTCACAGCCCTTCTGCAGCTGGTGGGATGCAGGATACGAGGGGAGCGTCCTGGCCCTGAGGATGAGGTCAACAACCAGAAACTCTTTGCAACGGCCTACTTCCTGGTCAGCGCACTAGCAGGTATGGACAGAAAGACCAAAGAAAAGAAATGGCTGCCACTTCCTCTGCATGCTTTGGGGACACAGATATCAGTCGGGGAGGTTTGGTACATATAGGTCCGTCCTTTCCAGTACAGAGTGGATAACAATTGGCAGCGCAAGGCAGAGCTGAGACTCAAGTGTGAAGCAGGACTATCTGTCCATCTTGAGTTTCCTCCACTTTTGGATAGGCTTCTTCCTATCTGGGGTCCCTCATGAACCCTGGAAATCATCTTCCAACAGAACCTGTGATTCACTGGCAGTGCTGCGTGGCAGGGACTTGCATTTGGTAGCTGATCTCCCCTAGCATTTCTCTGTCTCTCCATCCAGCTGATCCTCTCCTCCTTTGCAAACTTAACGCTTCACCGCAGCCCGCTCCATGGCAGCACCTGCCTGTGGAGAGCACAGTGTCCTTCTGCAGGCTGGGAAGCAGGGCAGTGGCTGCGCCCTGCGTCCCCACAGCTTTTGCATGGTCCCGAGGTGGCCTCCCTGGGGACTGCCATCCAGTTAGTGAAGAGCAACAGGCCTTGCTCACCACCTCGGCCCCTCCCCTCTAGAACGCACTGTGCCCGAGAGCCTGCTGGTTGCCCTTCATGAGGAAGCTGGGTTCCTTCAAGGGACGCTGCCAGGGCCCTGAGTTCCCAATGCATTCAGGATTTGTCTCAATACCACACAGAAACAGTAGCTGAGGAATCTTGAATTTTTTAAAAATTAGACTGTGTCTTGCAGCTCTATGTGCTGATGAATATATTGCTCCGTCTTCCTCTAAGTCATGGCTAAAAGCTTTGACTGGCTGATGGGGCAAGCCCCTGTGGGACTCCACTAGGGATCTGCCCAATGTTAACATCAGTGTATCAGAAACTTTAAAGGCGAGCGTTCTGTCAAGGGGCTAATCCACAGGCCCTGAGTGAATTCAACTCACTGAGAGGCCTTTCTTCACATACCCTGTTGTCTTGTAATACTTCATACTGCTTATAACATTTCTACCCACAAGCTGCCCAATAGGCAGCACATGTATATTACAGTGACATCAAATATGCAGCACGTGCCCTCTGAGCCTAGACAGAGCTGCAGTTTCTCTGGGAACTTTGCACACTGGCAGCCGCTGAGTTCACACATAACGCAAGATCGACTTCTGAACTGGAGGCTCAGCAGTGTTAAAATTTTTAGTGCGGCAGGTAGTCTCAGCAGCCAACTTCTGAACCAGGGCTGCCCTTCTTCATTTGTCTAATCTCATGACATGTGACGTTAGTGACAGCAGAGGTCAGGTTTGCTTCACAAACCAAACCTTTTTTTATGTGTCAGGGTCTGGCTATGTAGCACAGGCTGGCCTTGAACTCATGGCAGTCTCTTGCCTCAGCCTCCGAAGTGCTGGGATAAGAGGTGGGCACCGCACCTGGCCACAGCTCTTTCATTTGTGTTTATTCTGGCACTTCTGAATTGACCTTTTCCTCCTAGATGCCTCATCTTTCCTCCTAAGAATCCAGGGAAAGTGCTAGAACAGAAAATGGGTTCCTCTTGGGTCCTAACAGTGTATATTGGGTTTATAGTACAGCTCTTTTCAGCACTTCAGTCCATCGTCTGCCCTGTCTCCTGGAAAATTTCCTACATAATCAGGTTACAAGCTCTGAACTCCATAGGCATTTGTAAAATGGATTTACATTATATTATTATTATTAATTATTATTATTTTGTCTGAGACAGGGTCTTGCTATGCAATTCAGGCTGGCATTGAGTTCATTAAAAAAAATTCATTTCAAGTCATGACACACTGGAAAAGCTTATACTGTATTGCAGGCACTGCTAGGGGTGGAACAAATTTAGTCCAGGCCATGAGTTGAGTAGTAAAAGTAGGCAGTAAGCTCTTCAGCGTTGATAAGGTTCTTTTATTGCTGTGCTCCTGGCATCCAGTACCATGCTCAAAGTAGTATTAAATGAGTAATGTGGACTAAGGTATTTCCAGGAATAAGAGATGAAGAGGAGGATCTGACACTCAGGAGCCCCTGGAAAGCAAGGGAAGGGAAACAGACTCAAGATGGCTATGACAGCGGCTCACCCACGTGTCATGTGTCCTCCCCAGCTAGACCACATACACACTCCTGGTTGGGCTAAAGGTCTCCTTGAGAATGCATGGGAAGTTGTGGCTCTTCAGAGTATAAAATGCTCTCTGGAAGGGTTATCCCTTGGGAGCTGTCCCTTCATCTCAGCAGCCTTCATGCTCTTGGGAACAAGCCCTGTTTTGTCCTCACTGGGTCACAGCCTCAGTGACATTCCACATTTTCTAAGTAAGTCTGTTAGTGGAGCATGTGGGTTCATGAGCCACCCCATGGTGGGATCTCAAAGGTTGCACCCTAGAGACTGGGGTCCTTTTAGGGTCTGCATTTATTTTAGTCTGAGGTACTTCATATCCTTTTTGAATATATTGGCCCCTTCTGGGGCAGCCCTCTCTCTTGGTAGTGTGGTTATATCACTCCTTAATTAGGCCTCACAGAAACTTCCTCTTTAAAATGACTGGTGACATGGGGGGAGCCCTTTGTGGTTTATGCAGTGCTCTGACATATGCCAAATTCCAAATAATGACCAGTCAAATGAGGAAAGTGAGGCACAATCAAAGTCATAGCCCTATTATGTGGAGAGGCTTGAATACCGCTTCTGTTACCAAATCGGGATGAGGGGGTTCTACTTTTCCATGCAGATTTCCTTTTTCTGCAGTCTTGCCATTCTTCCTGATGGGCAGATGTCAAGGAATATCCTTTGGTGACTGCATCCCTACGTCTATTTTCAAAAAGGTTTTTGCTGCCAGTATCTTTTACTATTTAACAATTAGTAAGTGCTATTGAAATACAAATTTGGTAACATCCACGGGCTTCTGTTTCCTGTGAACTTTTTTTGATAGTGACTGTGACTTTTTTTTCTCTTGCAGAAATGCCAGATAATGCTGCAGCTCTGCTGGGCATGTGCTGTAAACTCCGTATTATTCCTGCACTGTACCACTTGGTAAGGAACCTTTCAGATGGGATCTCGGGGTGGCCAGGGATGGGGAAATGAAGAGGTAGATGCTTCATACCTGACAAAACACCTACCTCTACTTTTCGCATCCACAGCAGCTCTTCAGGATAGCTTTAAGCAGCTGTTGCATTAGCCCTACTTTTATACACACTGAACAACGCTTGAAGACCGAGACACAAAGGGAAATAGATATTTATTTAGTGAAATATTTAGATATTTATTTAGTCCTGGCCAGCAGAGCCAGGACTGCCACCGTTGAAACTCCGAATTGCAGCTTTTCCCACTGTGTGGAGAGTACTATGGCTACATCAGTGCTACCCTGGAAGAACAGACCTGAGGCCGTTTTGTTCAGTGGCAGTTCTCTGGTTAGACTGCCCTGATTCAGCTCTGCATCAGATTCAGACTCATAGGAGGCATTCAGACTGGTCTGTCTCACGGAGACACTGTCAGGTTCTTTCATCATCTTTTAGAAATACCATTAGCTTGGTCTCCTCTGGAAATAGTGTAAGAGTAAGAGTTAGGTAATCATCAGTGTAGCACCAGAGAATGAAGGCTTTTCTTTTTTAAGTTACAGATTGGGCCATTTATAGAAGGACCAGAAATAAAGCAGCCCTGGAACCACCCTGATGGGGCAGCTACTCTGGTGCAGCTTCTGCGGATGCTGCTCAGCCAGGGGCAGAACAGAGCATAACTGACCCACTCACTTAACGGTCTGGTTTGTTGGTCCAAATAACCATAGCTCAGAGCTGTTCTCAGATTAGGGAAGCAGGTATTACACAGAACACCTAGACAGGACCCTGAAATGTGTTAGGCAGTCACTCTGGGGACGGTGAGCAGTGCAGCTGGTGCCTTTGCACAGTAAAGACATCAGAAGACTATGTAGCACTGCACTATTCCAAGGAGCCTTCTAGATTTTTACTTGCCCAGAGAACAATGCATTCTTATACACTGACAGCAAAAACTGAACTACTTGAAAATGTGCCAGCATGTGTTCTGGGCCAGCTGAGGTTAAAGGCCGGTGGCATAGTCTGTTTATAGAAACTGTACTATTGGATCCTAATTGGTGCAATGATGAGCAAAATGACTGTTCTGCTTTCAAAGCCCTGCTTCCTTTTCCAGAAACTGAGAGCTCAGCACTTAGCAAGTTAGCCCTTCCCAAGTACTTGCAGACTTAACTTCAGGAAGTATGTACAAAAGAAAGGCCTGCCCCGGGTACTGTTAGCTAATTCTTCCCCAAACACACTCATGCTTGGTTGTCATCTTCCTTGAGCATTAGATGCAGCTTCTTACCTTTGGTTGCCCTCAAGTTTCTCTCTGCTGTTACACTCAGAGTAGCTGGTAGAAAACACTTGAGAGTCCCAGAGTGGAGGTCATTCTGCTTGTGCACTAAGCCACCTACCCACAGAGGCATTTGTTTACCTTTTAGGAAATCTAAGAGTCATTTTTTACAAAAGATCTTCCTGGGTGTCTTCATATAATCTTTAAAGATTTCCAACAGTTTTCTTTTTTTTAAAAGACAGCCAGGCTCCTGCCTTTTAAGCAAGCTGAATATCATGTGCTTCCTGTAGGGCACAAAACTTGTCTTATGACAAGAATAACCTTGAGGGAGGTTTTCTGAAGATGTTTGGGAGAACAGTGTCAGGTAGGCTAACATGTTTGCCAAGAACTGGTCAGAAGGTAAGTTAGGATCAACTGAGAATGCTAACTTTATCCTGCCATCTCTTGGGTTACTGTAATTCTCTTTACACCTAGACTCGTCTATGGGTAAAAGAGGTTACAGATGTTTAGAGTAAGAAGCTACATGTTTAGAGTAAGAAGCTGGTAAGCTCTTGTCCACTAAGGACATGGCGCCCATTCTGAAATCTGTAGGCTGTGATGCTTATATGCTTAAAACCTCAGGTCTGATCTACTCCCTAAAGCATAATGTATAGTTCATCATGTGAGCCACATTGTCATATAAAGCCAGTGGTTATACTGTGCGAGTTGTATCTGCAGAATCTGCAAGGTACAGATTCATAAGGCTGAGTTTGATAATAAACACACAAGTACTTAAACATTTTGCTGAATACTGGTCTTCAGTCACCTGAACAAGACCCATATTCCTTTAAGTAGAATTTTGGAATTCTTCTGGATTCCCTTCAGTTAAATTCATACATACTTAAAAATGAAGCAGGCATATAAAATTTTGTGCTTTAAAAATGTGTTACACACATAGATCAAGACTCTAAAAACAACTTAACTATTTCAAATCTATTTGAGAATTAGAACAATATTCAAAGCAATTTCCAGGCAGAGCTGAGTATCTGTTTTAAGCAGGTTAGATGGGTGACCACCTTGGACAAGGTCCTTGCTCTCAAGAGCAGTTCACTGTTTAGTCAGGGGAAATAAACTAAATGGGGACTAGTAAGGGAAAATTTCAGATACAGTAAACTTTGTAAGATAGTAGAATAATGTAATAGTGGCTGGGATATGGGATTGCGTGGATGGGTGGAGAGTGGCTTACGCAAGGCTCTCTGATGAGGCACTGCAACTGCCAAATCCAGACAGCAAAGTATTCCAGGTAGAAGGAAGAGTAAAGGCAAATGTTCTTGGGGTAGGAAGCATAGCTAAATGATACCTACCTTTGAGGGGTTCCTGTAAATATATAAGAAATTCTAGTATCATTTAAATGAAAAACGAGATGATAGCAAAATAGAAGTGTCCTGCTTGTGATTACCACAAAGAATAAGGGCACTAAGGGAGATCTGTGTTACAAGGGGAGCAATCGAAGGACTCTGGAAATTAGCAATGTAATGATGTAAACTCTAAACAGCACTAAAAGCCAGCAAGACAATTTAGAGAAAAAAACAAAGCAAGTCACGACTTCAGCCCAGCTCCCTGACCCGGGCAGAGAACTGGACACCATGGGAAAAGGTAAGTTGCAAAGTGCAGATAAACTTCTGACCACAATCTACCAAAACTGAGTCAAGAAATAAAATATATAAACAGACCAATAATGAGTAATCAGATTGAAGCAGTAATTAAAAATCTAATTTAAAAAATTCAAGACCTTGTGGCATTACTGCTGACTTCTATACAACAAAGAAGGAATTTCAGTTGTTCTTACACTATTCCAAAAAGAAAAATGGAAGACATTTTGCCAAACTTTTTACTTGCCACCAAAGTCAGTATTACCTTAATACTAAAACCAGACAAAGATGTAACAAGAAAACACAAAATAGAGACCCATACCCCTTATGAACACAGAGGTAAAAACTGTTTGTAAATATTATCAAACTGAATTCAAAAGCACATAAAAAAAATCATAAATTGTGGCAAAACGGGATTCATCCCAGGAGTACGAGAGTTTAGCTTATGCAAATCAATAAACATGATACAACAAGTATAGATATAAAAAGGATCAAGATTTGTTATGTATATGTACCAATATCCTGAGATGAATATATGCATTATGTATTGTAAATATATACTAATATAATTTTTGAAAAATCCATTACCATGAAAATATGAGTAATAAGTTACGGTGACACACATCTGTAATCCCAGCACTGCAGAGATTGAGGCAGGAAGATCCACATCAGCTTGGATCACATACAAAGATCTTGTCTCAAAAAAACAGAAAAAAAATGAAAAGATGCCAATGATTTTCTTTACAGAGATATGAAAAACAATCTTAAAATTCACATAGAACCACAAATGACCTAAAATGGTAAAAGCAAACCATATCAGAAATAGTGCTGGAAGCATCACAAAATGTGACTTCTAAACATAGGCCTGGCATACAAATACATAGACCGATGGAATGGAAATAGGGAGCTCAGAAACCAATCCCTTTTCATACAGCCAACTGCAAACTCAAAGGCACCAAGAACATACAAAGGGGGGAAAGACAGTGTCATACAAAATGGGAGAAAATATTTACAAACTATCTGATAAGGGATTAGCGTCCAGAACATAACGAAGAACTTGAAAAATGGGCTGAAGAACTAAACAGATACTTTTCAAGAGAAGACATACAGATGACCAACAAGCACATGAAAAAATGTTATTTCACCATCAGAGAAATGCAAATGAAAACCACAATGATCTATCGTCTGACCTGTTAGAATGGCTAGCATAAAAAGACCCAAAATAACAAATGGTGGAGAGGATGCAGAGAAAAGCAAACTATTATAAGTTTGGTGGGTGTACCTTTATGGAAAACAGTAAGGAGAGAACTAAAACCACTGAAAAGAGAATTACCATTATGATCTAGCAGTCCTACTACTAGGTATATATCCAAAGGAGGTGAAATCATACCAAAAAAGTGCTTGCATTTCCATGTTTGTTTTAGCTCTTTTCACAGTAGCTAAAATACAGGATTCAGCCCGCATGTCCTTCAGTAGATGACTAAAGTGTACATATAAGCAATGGAATATTATTCAACCATAAAGAGAATTAAGTCCTGTCATTGTAGTAACATGAATGGACTTGAATCATTAAGTGAAAAGCAAATATTATATGTTCTGACATATTGTGGTAACTAGTAAGTCAATCTTGTAAAAGAATGGAATGAAATAATCGTCACTAAAGATTGTTCTTTAATACAGCAGGGTTAACTATTGGTTAAAACCCATATTTCAAAGACTATAAGAGTATAAATTTCCCTACAGATAAAAATGACACATATTTGAAGAGATGGAAATGCTTATTACTCCAGTTATGCATACATGTACTCAATTTTCATAATGTACCCCATAAAGATGTACAAATATGTCTCAATTTTAAAAAACCCTCAATAAACTCTAATACTGGTAATATGATGAAGGTATATTATGAGCTCTCTAACCTACTGGAGTTAAAAGAGTTCAGAGAGAGGACAATAGGTGCACTGGATAAAATCAGTCCTGAGGTCCTGCCCTGGATTAAATACATCTCATTTATCTTGAAAGTTTTCCTGTTCCCTTGGAGAATTTAAAAGTTAGGTGTTTTTCTTTTTCATAATTACCTAGAAGTGTATTACTGTACAACTATGTGGACTTTCTGTATTTTAAAGTCTGTTTAAATATGTCATTTCAGCTTCGTGCTTTATCTGAGGATGGAATATGTGACCTTGAAGACCCAACTTTGGCCCCTCTGAAAGATACAGAAAGGTTTGGGATTGTACAGCGCCTGTTTGTTGCAGCTGACATTAACCTCGAGCAAGGGCATTCGTCTGTGAAAGCTGCCATCCTAAAGGATCCTCATATTTTCCCTCTAATTCTTTATATTACTCTGAATGGACTCTGTGCTCTAGGCAGAGAACATTAGTAATGTCTCGTCAAACACAAGTACCTGTAACAAGCCAAGGCTGGGTGTTTCTCAGAATTAAAATACTGTTCTGGGGTTTAGGTCTGATGTATCTTAAAAGTTGATCAATGAAATGAATTACAAAATACTTTTACTAGGGGTGATTTTCTGCTTTGTGAACGCCATCAGGCACTCTTTACATGGTTTCTTTTCATCAGAGGCCTTCTCCTGCTGGTAAATGGTGAAAACCTGGTATCCAAGGTAAAGTCTAGTACCAGAATGAGATTATAAGCAGTTGCACACTCAGACTTTTTTTCTGCAGAATAATGGGTCCATCTATCATTTTCTTATATTTTCTACTTTGCTATACAAAAACAGAGGAGCCTGACACTTTAACCCCAAAATTCATTTTAACTTGTGAACACCATAGCAAGGTAGCTTCTCTTCACAGAATCTACATTTTGGATGTGCTTGCTGTATATTATTTGGTGACTGAAAAATGAATTATAAATGCTACTAGAGACTGTATGCATTCTTCTGCGAAACAAAATTATACTAAAAATCTAGTAGTAACACACCCCCCAGAAAGTCTAACTGTATCATTTAACCTTGCTATGCTTTGATAAATGTATTAATTCTATGTCTAGAATAATGTGTTCTTCTTATGCATTTTAGTAACTTAATTTGCCAAAATTACATTTTCTATCAAAGGAAATACTGAACTGTTGTACATTTTGGTTTTTATTATTTTAATAGCCTTCTATTATAAATGGCTTGGACTGTCTCCCCAGGGCTTCTAAATCCACTGACAGGATCTACCATCCATCAGGGGCCTGAAGCCACTGTTTTACCTCAACATCACCTGCTTAGTCCGTTTTGTCCTTTCAGTTTTCAATAAGCATTAACAAGGAAGAAATAAAGCATGTCATCTTTTCATTACCTGTTTTAAAAATGACTCAGTCTTATACAAATGCTTATTATATGTATGTGTGTGGGGGGAAAGAATATAAAACTGTATGTTCAGTGGCCACTGTACACAAAAATTATCTTATACACGAATTAGAAAAAGAATATGCAAAGCCTTTTTGTCTGATTTTCTGAAGTATAAAAAACTAACTTCAAAAAGGATGTGTAATTTCTTACTGCAGGCAGAGGGCCAGGATGTGTGCCACAGCAGGTCAGCTCCTTCTATCACTTACCTGGCTTTTGCTCTTTTTTGGCCAGCTAAGCAGAGAGGCCTTGTTATCTTAATCCTATATTACAATCTTTCCTAACTCTGAAATATTTTGAGGGTATTGTCTTTGAAAGCCACTGAATTGCTTAGCTCAAGATAGAGGAATACATGGTTGGGGTTTCCTTGTTGAAAAATAAAAGTGGGCAAAAAATTTGGGAAAAACTAAAGGACATTAGGATTTTTAACAAAGATTTTTAGCATCTAAAAGATGTTATTAAAGCTGATCTGATGTTCTGTAACTTTACATCTAAACTTTTATTTTACTTATAAATGAAAACAGTACATTTCTCCCCATAGTAAACATTTCTTTATATGTACATGAAAATATTTTACCAGGACTATGTAATCTTACAAATTGAAAACTTCAAGAATTTCTATTTTGGATAGTATATAGAAATATGTGAAAAGACTTACAGGGATAGTTTCTAAAAATAATAATTATATTGTAGGAAGATTATTATAAAGATAGTAGTACTATTTTATACAGGAACTAGTAATATAATTAAACTAGGAACATAATTACTACTTTATTAGTACTTTATTTTTAAACCTTTTCATCAGAAAGTTAAAATAGCTTGTTCAGCTTTGACTTTTAGATTGCAACAAGCATTTTGCTTTTTATACAATCACTTCTAAGACCATAGGTTAAAAAAAAAGCATGCATTTGTGTCCAGAGGAAAGATATACCAAAATGAACTGGAGGGAGGGAATTAAAGATACTCCTCTAGCAAGTTTTCACATCTGTTACTCATCAGCTACAGCAAAGTTCAAAAGAACACGTTTCTGAAGCCCATTGGTCATTATTCTGTGATAGAATCTAGGACACTACCAAAAAGAAAGGTATCAGGGTTAATGAAGAAAGAGGAGCCAGTCTGCAGCTCTTTTTAACACTTTCCTGCCAGCTTGAACCACCAGTGGTAAATGCATGACTGTCCCATTGGGTGGCTTATACCACTGTTGGTACAAATGGATCTAATCACTTTTATTAGTCTTTTTACTAATAAAATTAATAAAAAGCCACCTGGTGGGACAGTCACACATGGACCACAGATGGTTCAAGCCACCAAGCAGTAAGACATATAAATTACAGCCCCATTGTGAACGTGTTAAAAGAGGGTACAAGACCAGATGTAGATGGTCTATCATCAGATCTGGTTCTTGAAAAGACTAAGGACTAGAGGTTTGGAATATGTTTACCAAAATAGGCTTTATGTTTTCAGAGTAGTGTTACTGATACTACTGCCTACTTTTCTTATTTAGGATGATGAAAGCCATATATTTTAAATGGTAATGTTAGAAATTTATAGCTGATAAGTTTTGTCTGTTTTTGGGTGCTGGGGAATCAAATCACACACTACCACTGAGCTATACCTCCCCCAGCCCTTAGTAGGTGAGTTTTTAATTCTATGCTTTTCTCCTCTTCAAGTTAGTTCATTAGGCTTCTGTGAAGTTCTCAAATTGCTATATTAGGAAAGCCAAATTTTAGGTATGACTTCTTAAAAAAAAAAAAAAAAGCTGTTGGCTGAAGTGCAATAAAGACTGCTACTTCCAACTTTTAAAATCAAAGGCTGGGGAGATAGCGCAATGTAAATGCCCTAGGTTGTATCCCCACTGTCAACCAATAAGACCTTTTGACTTCTGCAGTAGCAACAATACCTATTTTATGGGACTCAAAGACAGACTGTTTTTAAAGTAGAAAATAGGTTAAATTCCAAGGTCTAAGCAGCAATTTACCCTGACTATAGAGGTGTTCATTTCGTTTGTGCTGAAGAATAAAGGGGGAATGATAAAAAGAATGAGTTGTTATTTCTGACCACCTCTGTGTGGAGGTAAGTCTAACTTATTACACCACTACATTAACAGCCACTGGCCAAGAAGCAATTAGAAAGAGACAGTAGTAACCACTATCTGGATTTGAGGTTATTAACTAGATCTGTGAATGTTCCCTCCTACAAAGAAATAGATGTCTATGTGTTCAACCACAGTGCTGCAGTGATGAATTTCAGGTGTATGGATAAAGTAGAGCAGCTTTAGGAGCAAAGATCAGAGTCTGTTCTGATGTAGTATGCTGGATTGCTTAAAGTTTGATTGATTTGTCAGTGAACTGGTTACTACCAAGGATTTGCTATTTTAAGTTTGGACTTGAAAGGTGATATAAATTACAAGGAATCTGCTGCCTGGGACCACTGAGAGAACAGAACAGAACTACATCTTTGGGGCTGTTCTAAACTGGAGGTAGGATTCCTGATGGCATTTACCATCTACTGGATCATCTCAGAATGAGATACACTTTAAAGGAACTAAAAAATAATCAATCCCAACATAAGGAAACACATTTAATTGATAAAGCTTGTAAATATTTATCACATCACAGTTACAAATTACTCCTTACGATTTAAGGTGAAGACAAATGCTAACTTAGTTGTATTTAACAAGTGGAATAGTCAAGATAAAGGGAAATAAAAATATTACCAAAAATCACATGGTCAGAACTCAGAATTAGGATTGCAGCCAAGAACAATACACTATTTTTAAGTTTATCATGAGATTATTTTTATGACAGTATTGGAGTGTTTTGCTAAAGTGGTGCAAATCATGCTTCTTACCTTAGAAATGAGATACCATCATTCTCTCCCTTTTTTAAGTACTCATTTTTGATTCTGTGCATTTTTCAAAATTCATTCCAGGAACACAGAAGGTAACACAAGGAAATAAGAAATGCTTTTTTGAAAAATAATATAACTTGACTTAAAAAGGTAGAACAAAAATGCAATTTTAAAAATACCTTAAAACGACAGACTTGTCATCTTCTTCAACTACACCACATATACTTACATAAAACTGATATATTAGTCAAATGTGTTCTTCAAAGTTTGTCAGTGGTCACTTGCATGATATACAACGATCCAATTTAAAATAATATATCCCAAAAACTCAAAATACAATACATGGTTATTACATGAATCTTCACAGCAAATGTTCTGAAATAAGAGGGCAGGTATCCGTGATAATCTATAAGTGTCTTGAACTGTGTTACAAATTCATTCAGAGGTTTGACTAAATAATTCCCAAGAGGCTTCCATCCATGACTGTTTTTTTTTTCTTGAGGAAATTAAGTTATAATAATGAACAGTAATTTTGAGTTTAATTTCTCATTTTTTACAAAGGAAGTTAGTATCAGCTTCAAGGTAGAACCAAGGCCTTTTAAAACAATCTAGAAACTTGGAAGTAATTAAAAATTTCAGAACAGTAGCTATAATATGTGGGTGAATAATTTTATTATTCATGTAATTTGGGAGCATGTTACAGATTATACGCATAGCTGTATATATATTTATATACACACATATATATAGCAACTCCACATTTTAAAAATGAACTATTTATGTACATAAACTTTAGAACTGCCTTTTCCACATTTAGTATAAAGATTCATTACTACAAAATTATTGGCTCTCTAGCCTGTGATTTAATGGAGTATTATTTCAAGAAGTCATAAAAGTAAAACGTAAGGATATTATTACTTTGAACAATTTTCAAAACTTATCTTTAGAGTTTGCCAATTCAAAATAACTATCTAACTCTATGGCTATCCATCTTGAAAATTAACTCCAATCATCGGATCCTGACACTTTAGTTATACATAAAAATAAGTACCATCTTAATGAATTTTAAAAGGATCATCTTTTATTATCACTGAGATATCATGGTCAAAGCGGTATTTGGCCATAATCTGTCATACTGTTGAGTTTTATTGTTAATTTAGGTTATTTTCTAAATTTATTTTAGTAACTTGCCATTTTAAAGAAAACTTACAGGCTTTTATAAATGAATTTACTAGATTCTAGAATCTATGGTTTAGGCTATCGCTGTAGTCATACTGGATTTTTGATATGACTTACATTTTAGAAAGCTATGGTCAGCAATTGTATAGAGTTGGTCAAAATAGTCCTGTTATCTGACATTTAGTATTATCTAAATATCAAACAGAAATGGGAGACTGCATAATAAAAGCATAGTTGTAATGAAGATGAACATTCTATTTGTAGGGTATCAAATATATTGTACTAGTTACAGATAGGGCCATTTCCTCTACTGGTATTGGTACATTGAACATGAAAAATATAATCTTAGTTGTACAGCCATGCCCTGAATGCTGGATGTGAACACTCATCTGTCCACAAGGAACCCTTACATTAATGCGTCAGACCATTTTGTTTCACAAAAACACATGCATGTGTGTGTAGATTTATTACCAATCACTCAACAACACTGAAACGATTTTCTTTTCAGTAAAGCTATTATAAATAAGTCTATTATCTTAGGCTTTTGCCATAAGAGAAGTACACACTTTCTTGTCACATTACCTAAGGAGAATCCTGGGTGGGGCCTCTGGGCCTCAGCAGAGCTCTGGCGGTTCCTGCAGACTCAGATGAAACTTGAATTTCCAGTTCAGTGATTCTTGATATACAATGCACTTTTCTAAATTTATTTTCTTCAACATTTACATCTACACTGAACTGAACTAAACTGCATCATTTCATTTTGTGAGGAATCTAATCTGCATTAACTAGTCAACCATGAATATTAAATATAGACTATATTTTAGATAGTATGAGTTTTTATATTACATAAGGCTAAAAACATACGTGAAAATCACCTCTATGTACCAAGGTAGTAGAAATAGTCTGTAGATAAATTGCTGCTACAATTATCTCAAAGCTATTTTAAAAAACTTACAGTATGGTGAAACATTAAGTCATAGGATCACATTGATGCTTTAATTCACATTGCTCTAGAAGCCAAGAATTTTTGGTAAATATATGTGATATGAAATTTTCCAAAGTTATTGAAAGTATGATCTACTTTGCCAACAATTTGCTATCCTATGACAAGGAAAATCAATGTGGGATCTTTTTGAAATTCTAGAATTAAAAAATTTAAAGATCTATAGACTTCAAATTTTAACAATCTAACAATTTTCTTTCATTGTGGAAATGATTTAAAACAATGTGTAATACTTCCTACTGTCATATATTTTTTTCTTCTCTGACAGACTTCCAAGCTGGCATTCCATGTGATAGCTCTGGTGAGGGGAAAAACAAATTCAGCAGCCAGGTGTCTGATGCTTGCACCAGACAAAGATTATCATCAATATTTAAGCACTTAACCCTTTAAAATGTGAAAAGCTAGCAGCAGCAATATACAATATGATCAACTTAGTTTAGTGATGAGTTGCACCTCTGAGTATGTTTCAGGAAGAATTTACATCATCCAAAAATCTAAAAGGAAGATATTAGTTGAGATAAATATGGAAATTTGTATATTACATCAATGCATCTAAAAGAGGACTCCCCATTCTTAAACTGAAAATGCATTTCTTAACAGAAATATAAAATATACAAAACATTACTGTATATAGATGATATACATATTATATAATGCATATGTGTATCTACATAAAACAAGTGACAGTCATTTCCAAATTTTGTTGAAATGATTTGGTTTTCATCACAACAAATAGAACAAATACCCTAATAATTACATCACTACTCAAAAAGCACACTGATCATTCACAAAAACTCCCAACTGTAAACTTAAAGGCATCTTTAAACAACACAGAAATCTGCAGAGGCATGATACTTTTGCTGACCATATCCTTAAAAAATCTCTAAATTATTAGGTTCAATTTTTCATATGTGAAAATAAAGCTTTCTTCAAGTGTCACTTCGAGTAAGGTTTTTACAGAATAAGGCACTCTCTCAGTCTGCGTGACCTTGCTTCCAGCCTGACCTTAATGTGTACATGTCAAATTAGCATCCACATGTTACTGCAAGAAACAAAAAGAATATCCTCAAAAGAGAGTGCGAGGTATTGCTCTTTGTTTTTTTCACTAAAGACAGAAACAAAGGGAAAAAATAATTATCTGTATAAATTAGAATGGATAGCCATACAATCTCTGAAACAAAAAAATGTGGCACTGAACAGGTTTTTGATGTCAGGTTTAGATAGTAATACACTCGTAGCACTGACATTAAAATCCTGCTTCTGTAAGAAATCTGATTAAGAAGGAAAGCCAATACTACTGTTTTCTTCTGATAAGAGTAACTGACCCTTCACTAAATACTGAACTAAATGACAGCTTTATAAAACTATTTCAAGTATTCATTATCACAGTGAAAATGTGAGACCATGTTAAAGTGAATGATTTGAAAATTCTTTTGATGAAAAAGGCAAGGGTACCAAATCAAAACATATACAAAATGCTTCAACGCATTTCTTTATGTGATATGAATAGAAAGATTATCCATAAAAAGTTAGAAAAATTAAGATAAATTATATATACCTTCCCAACCATATTTTATATAAAAATTCAGAATAGTGTACTGTTATTTCATTCTACACAATAAAAATGCCTGGACTTGGCAGATATCTTCTATCTGTGCATGTATTTTCCCAGTAGAAGATTTATTCATTGAGTTGCTTTTGAAAAGTTTTAATTGTTAACCTTATTGAACTGTCAGTAAACCCAGCTGATGGGGACCCACTGTGGTTCCATCCTTAGTTTCTCTATGGCAGTTTGTAGTTTCTCAAAGGCTTTGTCTAGATTGTCATTTATGATGATCAAATCAAAATAGTGGTTGTATGCTCTCTGAATCCGTGCACTTTCATCCACTGTTTTCTTCAAGTCAGAGTCCTGTTGAAGAGTTTTAAAAGAAAAAAATGTTTGAATAGTGATACATATTTACTAGCTCAAAGAAACAAGTAGTTTGGATATTTAATTGTGATATTAATCATTAAAGTCTAACCTACAGTGTTACAAAAGACATTACTGTCTGTGCATACCTTAGTCTTTCCATCTACATTCATGTTTGCATTTATGAGCATTTTGTATCTTCTGTTTTGTTAATATTAGAATAAGATTCTTAGTTAAAGGACTGACAATAATCTTTGGGTAAACCTAAGGTATTACCGTAATTATTGCAGGTGACTGGTGCTTAGCTCAACTATATGTTTTTTGAAAGATTCTTTTTTAAAAATGGTATTGGGGACTGAACCCAGAATCTTTATACTGAGCTAATTTTAACTGTGAGAGAGGCTCTGCTAAGTTGGGAACTTGCCAAGGCTAAACTTGAACTTGGGATCCTCCTGCCTCAGCTTCCTGAGTGCTGGGATAACATGCAGCCTCCATCACCCCCAATATCAAAACATTTCTATTTTATGACCTATATAAATCATGGGACCAAAGCTGTAGAGGCTGTTAAACTCAAAGTCAATTTGCCATCTATCAGTAAGAAAGTCCTTAGAAGTATGTTCTGAAGAATACAAGCTTCCTACCTACCACCAAAACACACACCCATGCACTTTAGTTACATTTCTGTGCTAGTACTATTTATATTTTATAGTTATTCTAGTTCTTTTGGAATGATGTAGGGAGTACCTGTGTAATGGGTTGTACCTGATCAGGTTAAGGCTTTTCAAAAATTCCAAGTATATGAAATTTTACTATATTTTTATATATTCTAAAAATTTTTACTGGGTTCCTATTAAAGTGGATACTATGTTTCAGAACTGGTAGGCATAACAATGACTAAGAGAGGGGGCTATTGTCCCACGGTGAGGGAGACAGATAAAAGACAAATGAACATAAAAATTCCACAAGTTGTGTTATATAAGAAACACCAAGCAGAAAGGATTTTAAAATACTTTAGAATAATTGGAAAGACACAAGCAAATGACAGTTAAGCTAAAAACTAAAGGGAAGTAAGACAGTTGTCATGCATATGGCAGGAGAAAGAACATCTTTAGGGAGCGAGAACAGCAGTGCAAAATCAAGAGGATGGAAATGGCCCAGGTATACTTGAGATTAAAAGAAGACCAGAGGATGGAGGTTGTGGCTAGGTTACAGAGGACCTAGTGTGAGAAAGACACCTGTGGGTCTAAAGGAGGAATGTGACGTGAGTGCATACAGGAAGACTGATGGCAGTGATCCATGTCACAGTGAAGGGCTGCCTAGACTATGATGAAGAAATAGGAAGGACACCGGCCTGGAAATTTACTCCGGTGTTAAAATCATCAGGATTAGCTGATGTAAAAAAGAAGAAAAGGAATGGATCAAGTCTAGCTCTTAGTTTTCTAGCTTGAGCAAATAGATGCCTATAGAAGAACTGGGTGGTGGGGAGTGAGGACAGCATGATTTTTCTGAGAACAACAAAATGTTCTCTTTTTTATGACGTTTAAGATGTCTGTGAGACATCTAAAGTAGAGATGTAAAACAGCTGACATGTCTGGGCTCTAGTTTATCTAGCTATATAAATCATCAGTGTAGCAATGGATGTGAGTGGTTTCACTAAAGGAAAGTATATAGAGAGAAGTCGTTTCAACTATTAGGCCCATGGAATCCGTATACTTACCAATACTTCCACTGAGACTTCAAAGTCAGTTTGAAACAACTAAAATGCCTTGGATCACAGATTTATATAAAGCGATTTTAACTGCGTTATTAGCAATCTGATTTGTTAAAAAAAATCCTATAATAAAAATGGAGAATGCCATGAAGGTAGAAAGAGGAATAGAGAATCCCTAGATCTACAGAGCAATCTGCAGGACATGCTGATATATGAAAAATATAGGCAAACTACTGTGTAGAAGGTTATGTTTTATATATATCAAATAGAGGAAGTACAGCATATACATGCATACCTCCTAATGGTAAAAATGGTTACCAAAAATGGCTATGTACGTGGGTTGGAGGAAAAGAATGGAAAAGACAGAGAAAAGCTAGACTTTTTTTTTAAAGATTTACTTTGTAACTATGAAAATGTATGCAATTATAGAAAGTTCAATTCAAATGGAAAAAATAATAATACATAAAAATCAAAAGCAAAATGAAACAAACGTGTTTCAAGTTGATGGCTTAGTCACACAAAGGAATTATTTCTACAATTTAAAAACTAAATAATTTGATATCTAGTAGGATATATCCTATTAGAACAACTAAAAGACAAACTTAAAGCTTTTCAATGATCATATTGTTAATATTGATACTGCTACTCAGAAATTATATGTATGTTACTTCATTATACTTATATAGACATAAAATAACTGTTATCAGGAACCAAGACATTCTGCATAACAGGCAAAAAGGCAAATGCATGGTCAAAGTACTGTACTAACATAAATTAGTTGTAGTGAATTACAACTAATAAAGTTGAACTAATGATGCCTGTTTTCTTAAAAATATATCTTCCCTCTGAACAGAAAGGCCCAGAAACAATGTCCAGCTGAGTTGAATGCAAACTCTCAGTGCTTAGATTATCCCTAAATATCATTTTTCACTAAAAGAAAACAGGATGTTGGGATGGCTGGTTCCAGTTCTGGACCAGGAAATATGTAAGAATAATCTGGAAGAGACTGTTATACTCTTATTAGCAATATTATATTACAAAGGATCATCAAAGACTACTGGGATTGTATTAAACAAGAGAAGCCAAGCTGAATAGACTATTAGCTAAAGAGAGGGTAATTTGAACATCAGTAAGAGTAATAACTGACCTAAATATGCAGAGAGGAAGCTGTACAGTAGACCCTTAAGTTATAACTGGCCTGAAATATGAACAATTTGGTGTGTGAATGGAATTTTAGCTTTAACTTACAAACGAAGTCTTGAATTATGACCCAAATGCTGGCCACTTATGCTTCCAGATGGCCTCAGACACAGATTTAACCCTTAAAAAGTTCTGAAAGGAACATTACAACATCCTTTCCTGTCTGCAGTTGAGAGATCCTGGGCCAATGTCTCTCTAAGGACACTGAGATCTGCCTGTGTACAGGAGAGAAACTTTAAAGGCTCTGTAGAGGAGCCGCAGCCTTCCACTGACAACTTGAGTTACAACCAGCCTTTGGGAATGAATTGAGTTTGTAAGTCAAGAGTCCACTGTATTCAAATGGCTTTGAAACAGAAGGATACAGTCTACAGATAAAAAGAATTGTGTATGTGTGTGTGACTGTTCATATTAGTCATACCCACTGGTGGGAGTGTTAATATATTTTTCTCAGACTGTTGTGTTTATACAACATAAAGCAAATGAGCAATTATATGATAATCTAATGTATCTGGTGGTTATGAGATACTCAGCCTGAGAAAAATCAGACATATAAAAGAGAATGGGAAATAGTATGGCTTTATACTATAGTATGCAGTATGACTTTATGATGCATTAGCATTTATACGTACAAACAAAAGCATATATCCTAGGTCTGGAGCTTTCTTTCTGGGCAAACTCACAAGGTTTTAAATCATTCTGCTGAGATCTTTGCTCTTTATTCTCAAGATAGAACTGGCTGGAAGCCCCCAACAGTAATAGCTGTGCAACTGCCTCAACATTAGACTGCTTTGAAATTACTTATACAAGATTAATTAGTCCATCACCCTTAGTCTCAGGCAAAGTCTGGACATGAGCAAAATGCAACCAAACTTTCTGCCAAGGCATAACACACTTTGACGTCCAACAACCAATGCAGTCCTTCCCAGCAGAAACCTTCAGAGGCTGGTCTTTATCAGCAGGATTTCCATCAGCCTTCTGAGCTCTGACCAGAATTTCCCATACAGTACAATCTCTGGCATTCCATCTCTACTTTTCAGCAGGCATCTCCAAACCTTGCCAAACTCTTCCCTCAAGCCATTCCCGAAGGCTCCTGAACCACATGGTCAGATACAGTCACAATGACCTCACTCCTGGTAACAAATTCTATATTCGTTTTTCTCACTGCTGAGACAAAACACAATACCCACAAGTTACAGGAGGAAAGGTTTTATTTAGCTCCCAGTTTGTAGAGGTTTCTATAATCAGCTGGCTCCATGGCAGACTGACACATAGCAAAAGGGCAACAGTTCATGGCAGTGGAGAACAGAAAAAGCAGTAAGTGAGTAACAGACAAACCTCTTTCTGTCCCTTATATTGTATCCAGTCTACCAGGATTAGGGTGGTACCAATCCAATTAGTGGGCTGATCCAGCAATCACCCACCCTTAATCCCAGCATTGCCACAAATCTATCACACACACTAGATTCAGCCACATCTAAAAAACACCTAAAACCCCATGAGGCTGTAGGTGTATTTCTAGACACAAACCATGACACTAGATGTTCCCCCAAAGCCTCGTGAGGTCATATGCTTTTGGGAGGTGACTGGGTCACAGGTGTATGATACTGGATTAGTCCACTGATGGGTTTATAGCTGGGTGTGATATTGGGAGGTGAAGTCTAGTGGGAAGAGATGGTCTACTGTGGGCATGGCCTGGAAGCTGGAAAAAGAAATCACTCAAGAGGGCGGGAGATATTTACACTGAGCTAGGAATTGTACATCAGAACAGAAAGTCTTATTACTAAAAGTACCATGTGGAAGAGTACCAAACAGGTCTTCCCTCAACAATGGAGAATAATAGGTTCTAGAATGAGAACTGCTTGGGTCTTACTGAACAAATTTTAAAAGCAAGACTTGAAATGATTAAACTATTCCAAAGAACTGCATCTTTGAACAAAACTTGTAATGTCCGGCACGATCCAAATGAGAAAAATCTCAATCAAAACCGACCCAAGCTGGGTGTGGTGGCACAGGCCTTATAATCCCAGCACTTGGGAAGTTGAGGCAGGAGGAGAGCTATGAATTTGAGGCCACCCTGGGCTATATGAGTTTAAGGACAGCCTGAACTACATAGCGAGATTCTGTCTCAAAACACCAAAGGGGGGAAAAGCCGACAAAACGTTAGAATTAGCAGACAATGATGACATTAAAAAGTTGTAACTATTTTTTCACATATTCAGAAGGTTAAATACAGACATGGAGCAACTGAAAAAGACCTAAGAAGATTACTAAGATCTGATTTCAAGGTATATCATCAGCTATACAGTGGGAAGAGGGGTGGTTTGGTTGCTACAAGAAGCACAGGGGAAAATGTGGACATGATGGACACATGGACACATTCATTACTTTGGTTGGCGTGGTTTCATGAGCACATACATATGCCCAAACTTATCAAACTAGACACTTATGTCAATTATAACTCAAGCTGAAAAAAAGAATGAAAAGACATGAAAAGAAATTAATATGATCATCTTCAACTCATTCTTTTTTTCTATTTTTTATTTTTTACAGTTCTAGGGCCTCATTCATGCATTCTAGGCAAACACTCTATCATTGAGTTACACCCTAGCCCAGTGTACTGATTTTGTTTGGATCCTGATGTGAATAAATCATCTATAAAAATATTATAAGTGTTGGAGAAATTCAAATATAGACTGCATACTGATATTAAAATATTGCTTATTAATTTTTTGTGCACAAATAGTGCTATGAGCATGTTTTCAAAGGTACTCTTTTGGAGATAAATACTAAAGTATTTATGGATGGTATGATACCAAAGATTTGTCTGAAAATAATTAAAGGTGAGGGAGGAAGTGGAGAGAAGTCTAACTGAAACAAGATTGGTCATGTATTACTACAACTAGGTGGTGTTAATACAAAGGTTGATTTCTTCCCTCTTCTGAACATACGATCTGAAAATTTCCATAATATGAAAACAGAGGGAGGAAAAGAGAAAAAATGTAACAGAAATGAACAACTACTTCTACCAGTACTACTGTATGATGAACAGGTTTGTTAACAGTACTGGGAACATTCTGTCATTAACAAAATGGTATGGCTGGGTTAATATTTATATTTTAATACTGGTCCTTTTCATTCTACAAAACAGAATTATCCTTTTTTTTTTTTTTACAATAAAGTGAAAGGAGGGAGGAAAGGGGAAATAAAAAGGATTAATACGTGTTACATACATGTACCAACTCCCCATGATGAATGTAATAATTATATGTCACAAATATTTACCAATAAACACTAAAAAAAAGTGAACAAGCACTCTCAAAGTAAAAGCAACTATACTAAGTATATCTGAATAAATTTTTCATGCTATAATATCTTATATACTGTGTTTATTTCCTAAGTATGACTAGATAGGATTATACATATTCAAAAGAAAGGAAATAATTTAGCAAAAATACAATTATTAAATTAAAAAGAAATGTTCACCGTCAAAAGTTTGGTAGTGATTCCTGCGTCCACTACAGCCTTGTGCATGGCACGTAATGTCTCTAGCTCTGGAGCAGCAATAAATACCACATACGGCATGAATTCAGAAGTCCTCAATACCTTCAGTGCCTGTGTAGAATAATAATACAAACCAATTTATTTAACATTGGTACTTGAATTATTCTATCTTTTAGTATAAATCAAATCTATCTGCTTTCTATGGATTAAAGACTTATTTTACTCCATGTCTCCTGCTTTTCTACTATAGTGTTTTCCTAAAACATTGATACATTTGTTTTGTTGTAAACTCAGTCTCATTACTTTTTGTTCTCCTTGAACAAAAGGAAGTGTAAAATTTAGTGATCCTTAAATCATTATGAGTGACATAAACTCTTAGTGTAAGAGTCTGTTAATATTGAAAGAGCAGAAATAACCTCAGTGCTGATTAATTGGAGAGTGATTAAATAAATGAATAGATCCATACTATGAAATACCATGCAGCAATTACAAAGACTAAAAATATCTCTTTAGTAACTAACATGAAAAGAGCTTTAAGAAATAGTGTTTAATAAAAAGCTAAAGAATCAGTATAAAACTCATTTACGTAAAAACCAAAACATAATAGAAAAGCCATTAAGTTTTATACATGTTTGTATTTAAGGCATACTAAAATGACAAGAAATGACTAATATCAAATATTAATATTTATCACTGAGAAGAGAAGTGAGGTTGGGCTGAGTATAGAGGGGTAGGAAGGGATGAATGAGAATGAAATGAATGCTGTGTGTGTGTGAGGTGGGAGGTGGAACTAGTTCAATTTTTTATGCTTTTAGATTGTAGCCATATTTACGTTTTTCATTTAGCATTTCCTAACATAGGTATTTATGTATTACTTGAAGAAGTAAATAAATACTAAATTTACACAGATTTAATTACATGGTTTCTACTGTTTAGCTAGTTAGCTAAATAAGTTTCTCTATCACCTAAAGGTAAGAAAGGCAAAGCCACCTTTCCACTTTGACAGAACAAACATTCTTACGCCCTCCCCATATATACACACAAACAAAACCTCATCAGGAAATACAATTTTAAAAACATCTTTGGAATCCATGCAGCTCACTTGTGGGTTGACGTCCAAAATACAAGTCCGTCCAGTTTGGACAACTTCAAGGATAGAGTCAATCTTAGTTCCATAGAGATTTCCTTCATACTCTCCATGTTCTAAATACTTTCCAGCCTTAATGTCTGCTTCCATCTCTGATCGTGACACAAATTTATATGCCTGGCCATCTTTTTCATCTTCCCTTGGTTTCCGTGAAGTAACTAAATAAAATAAGGTTAAGAATTTGTATAAAGCGACTGCAGAGCATAAAAAATAGACTGAAATATACCGGGTAACTACATTTTAAAATCTTTCTGGTGCAACAGTTGGCAAAACCACATCCAGAGACTAAACTGATCTCTTGTTTTTATGAATAAAAGTTTTATTGTCACACCATGGTCTTCCCTTTTATGCACTGGCCATGGCTTCCTTACCATTAAAATATAGAGTAGCTGTGACAGAGGCTGTATGGCTTGCAAAGCCTAAAATGTTTACCCTACAGCCTGTGAACAGAAAATGTTTGCTGACCCCTGATTCAGAAGAATGGAAAATGTTTGCTGACCCCTGATTTAGAAGAATGTCTAGAAGGTAATTCCCAACCTAAAATTTGTTTCAAAAGTGTGCTTTTAGAAGTCTTCTTGATAAAAAAAAAAAAAGTCCTTTTGTAACTCAAAAATATGTCTGGCTAGAGGCAGAGCCTTAAAATTTTAATTTATCTTAAAATCTTAAGTACAAAGCCTGTTACAGATATCTCTGCCATCTGACCAGCAGTCTCTTTTTCCCTTAAGAAACCTATTATTTCCTTTCTTTCATCTTTAACATTTCCTAATTAAGTGCCCAAAAGATGGGCAAAGTTCATTTATTTTTAGTTGATAAATATCAAGTTTGTATAATTCTATTCACAAATGATCTATCCTTTATCCCACCTAAAGACTTGAACTTTCTTTTGGCTTACTGTCCACTGACATTCTCAAACATGTATATTTTAGTTTACACTGGAGATAAATGAAATTACCTACCTACCCTATTATTATTATCTTCTATTAGGCTCCTCTACTCTGACCAGACATGTGCTCTCAATGAGAGTGAAGAGTCCAAGCCAAAACTCAGTGAAGGAGGATTCTTTTTTATATTTTAGAGCTTTGAATACTTTGTGCTAAAACTGGGCTATTACCATCTTTCAAACTATTGCAAAGGTGCACTCTCTGACAACTTTGTTAACACCGGCTTTAAGGAAGAGAAGTTACGTTTTGTGTTTGCTATTTCAAGCTTGCCACTCATCTGAGCTTGGCTGGATACGTATAAAAAAATCAACTTTCAGTAAGCACTTATACAAGTAGAATGCCTGACTAAATCATCAGGTACATGAAATTAGAATTAGAAGGTAATCCAAATTAAGTCGATCCAAATTATTAGAAATGAACATAAGGCACAAAGAAAATTTTGAACTTCAAACAAACTGAAGTTCAAGAAAAAAATGTACTTTGACTCGAGCTCAAAATAAGGATTAATTTATAATAAGATCATTATGCACAACAGGGTTCCTTTTTGTCCCTTGTTTTCTGGCTCATTCTTAAGGGTGGTCATTCTAGACCACTGTAGAGAGTACTTATAACTAACTTCAAGAATCTTCAAGATGCTATCATGGCTTTCCACTCAAAATTATGTGATCTAGGTTTTTGGAATTATCCAACAAAGATGGTATCTAGGTTTTTGGAATTATTCAACAAAGGTGGTATGATAAACCTACTAAGGCACCTTTAAGTTCCCCAAGTAAGTACATGCTAAGACTTGGCACAGTATCTGTGAACATAATTTTAAAAGACTGCTATTTCTTTGTGTAGCCCTACACTGAAGTCATACATGAAATGTGCTATTTTTTAAAAAACATGACATATATCTGCCTAGGTATCACCTCCCAACACAATGGTAGAATTTTAGTTCTTGAGAAAATGTTTTTTAGTTTACAAGTCATTTTTAATTACAACATTTAAAATTAATTTTTAATTACAACTCCATTCTCTATTACAACTCACATCTCTACAGTTCCACATATGTAAATACCCCTTTCCATTCCTAGAACAGGGAGATTAGAATTGACTACAACTGATTCCTTAGGCTTATACGCTGAGGGACTAAATCTGATTTTGTAGAAGGAAATTTTGGCACTGAAAAGACTCTAAATTTTAGTAGGAAAAAAAATAAACAAAACCAATTTGTTATTAATATTAAAAAGCAAACAATTCATAAAATAGCTTATCTTCCTGAACAACGAAGTTTTTCTATTTGAGGATCATTTTATATTTATTAAAATTTTAAACTGGCTTAATGCAGTGATATCTGTATTTTCTGACAATGTATAGTACAATATTGTGTATCAAAAATTAGGCAAGATCCAGCAATCCTACTATTGGGTATATACTGGAAGGAAATGAAACAGTGTGTCAGAGAGATTTGCACCCACTTCCATGTTCATTGCAGCTTTATTTATCAGCCAAGGTATGATAATAACTAAAATGTCTACCAGTGAAACACTGAATATTTTTAAAAATGTAATAAGCAACAGTCTTAAAATGTAACAGCCTTAAAAAAAAGAGGCAGGTTGAAGTATTTGAACCTCCACTCAACTGTCTGTCAAAGGTAAAATGGTACATCTTTCTGGAAATTAATTTGGCACTAGGAAGTCAAGAAATGAAAATATTTATATTACTCTTTGATCTAATACTTTTACATTTCATAATTATATGTTCACATTTCATCACTTTACAGAAGTACAACAGCAACTGTGATTTTTTTCAAAGCGCCAGGTGCACACATGTATATGTGGGAATATTAAGAAGCTGTAAGATTAAATGTTTTAAAATTTACCATTTTAACCATTTTGTTTAAATTTTTAAGGAATTACTATGTTGTTTTATTTCCTGGACATTTCTAGTGGTGATATAGAAGAATTCCAGTATTTCTCCATCTTCATCAACATTATTATGATTTTTGAAAATATAGTAGCCATCCAAATGGGTATAAAGTGGTTTATCATTATGGTTTTCCTTTGCATTTCTCTAATGAATAATGATGCTGAACAGCTTTTTGTGTGTATATTGGCCATTTTTATATCTTTTGAAGAAATGTCTATTCAAATGCCAGTAAAACATACTAGAACCTATGCTACACAACAAAAAAGTCCTAAGAGGGCTTTATAGCAGTTAATGCCCACATCAGAAAAACAAAGAGAGCTCAACTAACCTAACTCTGTACCTCAAGGTCCTAGAAAATCAAGAACAATCCAGATCATACATTATGATGCAGGATGCAGGGATGGTTCAACATATGCAAATCAACAAATATAGCATACCACATAAACAAAAACAAGGACAGAAATCATACGATCATCTTAATAGATGCAGAAAAGGAATTTGATAAAATCTAACATCCATTCATGACTAAAAACTGTGAAGAAAGTAGGTACAGAAGATCTTTATCTCAATCTGATAAAAGCCATCTATGACATATCAATAGCCAAAGACATATTAAATGGAGAAAAGCTAAAAGCTTTCCCTCTAAAATCAAGAACATGACAAGAATATCTGCTATCACTACTCCTATTCAATAGTTATTGAAACATTAGCCAGAGTAATATGGCAAGAGAAGTAAACAGAATGAAAATGGGCAGAAAAGGAAGAAGTTAGATTATCATTATTTGCAGATGATGCAATCCTCTACAAAAGACCCCAAAAACTCCATCAAAAGACATCTTGAATTAATAATCAAATTCAGTATACAAAGAAAACACTAAAAAATGAATAGCATTTCTGTACATGAATAATAAACTCACTGAGAGAAATTAGGAGAATAATACCTTTCACAATAGCATCAAATAAAATTAAATACTAAGGAAATGGAAGACTTCTACAATGAGAACTACAGTCCTCTGAAAAAGATCAAAGAAGATAACAGAAAATGAAAAGATATCTCATTTTTGGAGAGGCAGAACCAACATTGTCAAAATGGCCATACTTTCAAAACTGGATACACAGATTTAGCATAATCCTAATAAAAATAGCATTCCTCATAGAACTTGAGAAAACAATCCTAAAATTTGTATGGAACCAGAAGAAACCTAGAATAGCAAAATGTAATTCTGGGCAACAAGGGCAAGGCAGGAGCCATCACAGTCCAGGACTTCAGGTTATACCACTTGTAACTTGAAGCTGCAGTGGTAAAGCCAGCATTGTCTTGCTAACACAAAACAAAAAAAACCAATGGAACACTGGAACAAAAAATCAACGGAACAGGAGGATGTAGAAGCAACTCCAGGCACATTCAGCTACCTTATCTTTGACAAAGGAGCCACACTTTTGCTATTTTAACATTTAGATCTTTGATCCGCTTTTAGTTTAGTGCATGGTGATAGACATGGGTCTAGTTTTACTCTTCAGCATGTGGAAAACCAGTTTTCCCAGCATCATTTATTAAAGAGGCTATCTTTCTTCCAATGAATGTGTTTGGCCCCTTTGTCAAAGATAAGGTGACTGAGTGTGTTTGGAATTGTTTCCTTATCTAATCTGTTCCATGGATCCTCAGGTCTTTTTGTTGTTGGTGGTGTTGCCAGTACTATGCTGTTTTTATCACAGTAGCTCTGTAGTACAACTCCATGTCAGGGATTCTGATGCCTCCTGCCTTGCCTTTGTTGCCTAGAACTGTTTTTGATATTTTAGATCTCCTCTGGTTCAAAGGAATTTTAGGACTGTTTTCTCTGATTCTGTGAGGTATGCAATTAGAATTTTGATTGGGATTGCATAAAGTCTGTATAACAATTTTGGAAGTATGGCCATTTTCACTATGTTGGTTCTTCCTACCAAAGAGCATGGGCTATCTTTCCATTTTCTAATATCTTCTTCAATTTCCTTTTTCAGAGTATGGTGAGTTTTTAGTGTAGAGATCTTTTATACTGGAAAATGAAACAGGTAGAACTCTTGAAGACATAGGTATAGGCAAAGACTTCATGAACAAAATCCCGACTGTCTGGGAAATACTACGAAGAATAAACAACAGGGATCTCATTATAGCAAAAGGTACCCCCGACAGAGTGAAAAGACAACCCACAAAATGGGAAAAAATTTTAGCCAGTTGTTCCTCAAAGAACTAATATCTAGAACATATAAAAACTGAAAAAAAATCAGACCCCTCAAATTTAAAGACCCAATCCAAAAATGGGCATTTGAGATGAATACATACTTCTCAAGTGAAGAAGTACAAAAGGCAAATAAATATATGAAAAAGTGTTCAACATCACCAGTCATTCAAAAGATGCAAATTAAAACAAAGCTGAGATTCCATCTCACTCCAGAAAGAATGGCTATTATCAAGAAACCAACCAATAACAAATCATGGCTGGAATATGGGAAAAAAGGAATCCTTCTCTACTGTTAACGGGAATGTAGACTGGTATAACCACTGTGGAAATCAGTGTGGACATTCCTCAAAAAACCGGAAATAGAGGTCTCATCTGACCTAGCTATTCCTCTTCTTGATATCTTCTTGAAAGAATTAAAAGCATCAAACCACATCTATATATGCACATACTAAAAGAAGCAAAGTTTGTAATAGCTACATTTTGGAAATAACCCAAATGCTTATCAACTAATGAATGGATAAAACACATGAGTTTTTTTTAATACAATGGAGTACCACTCAGCCATAAAGAAGAATAAACTTAAGACATTTATAGTTAAATAGATGGACCTTGAGACCAAACCCTTAAATGAAATAAATTGAAAAAATGTGTAAATATGGCATTGTCTTTGTGGGATGAGAAATTGAAAGCATAAATAAGAACCAAAGTGTGTAACAGATATTGTGAAATAGGAAGAAATTGTAAAAAAAGGAAAGGGGAACTAGGGAGAGGGGAGGGGAAAAGGAAAAAAGGAAAAGAAAAACTGAGAAAAGAAGAATAAAAGGGGCACAGAGCTGTTAACAAGGAGTGAAAAAGGGATTGAAGGGAGGGGAGGGGAACAAAAAAAAAAAAGGAATCAAGATATATCACGTACAAGTACAAATTCCCTATGATAAGTGTGATCTTTTTATATATCTAAATAGTACCAATAAACTTAATAGTAAATAAATAATAGTTAATAGTAAATAAATAAATAATAGTAAATACCAACAAACAATAATAAAAAATACTTTCACTGGAAGAAAGCCTCTTTAACGAAAGCCTCTTTAATCCTGGGAAAACTGGCTATCCACATGCTGAAGATTGAATGTAGACAGCCATACTATTTCTCACCATGCAATAAACTATAATCAAAATCTAAACATTAAAACTGAAACACTTAATCTCCTGGAGAACAAAATAGGTAAAATGCTTGAAGGCATATGTGCAGGCAAAGACTTTTCTGAACAGAACCCCATTTGCATGAGAAATAATACTAAGAATCAATAAATGGGAACTAATCAAGTTAAAAAGCTTCTGAACAGCAAAGGAAACCACCAACAGAGTGAACACAAGCTACAAAATGGGAAAATATTTTTGCCAGGTACTCATCAAAGGACTAATATGTAGAATATATAAAGAACTAAAAAAATTAACCTCCCAATTTAAAGATTCAATCAAAAATAGGCATCTGAAGTGAACAGACACTTCTCAGACGAAGTACAAGTAACCAGCACATACATGAAAAAATGCCTAACACTGCTGGCCATTAGAGAAATACGAATTAAAACAACACTGAAATTTCATCTCAATCCAGAAAGAGTGACTATCTTCAAAAAAATCAAATAATAAATACTGGCCACACTGCAGGGGGAAAAAGGAGCCCTTCTTCATTGTTGAGGGGAGTGTGAACTAGTACAACCACTATGGAAATCAGCATGGAGAGTCCATTTGACTCAGCTATTCCCCTTTTAGATAGCTTCTTAAAAGAGATAATGATATCATATTACAGTGAAACACATGTTTATAGCAGCACAACTTATAATAGCTAAATCTTGGAAGCAACCTATATGCCCATCAACAGATGAAGAGACTAAGAAAATATGGCATGTACACACAATGAAGTACTACTCTACCATAAAGAATAAACTTGAAGTATTTGAAAATTAATGTACCTTCAGACCATAATGTTAAGTGAAGTAAATCAGACACATAAGCTTTAAATACTGCATACTTTCTTTTATGTGAGAAGGCCAATACATAAAGGACAAAATAAGAGATAGATAATAGGAAGTAAGGATATAGATCTTTTTCAAATGGAAAGGGGATCAAAAGATGGAGAGAGAAAAGAGGAAAGGGATGAGAAAAGAATTAAGATGTGTTATGCACATGTACGAATCCCCATGAGAAATGTAATCATATATACTGCAAACATGTACAATAATTTTAAAAAATCTATTCAAGCCCTTCGTCTACTTTTGAATTGGGCTTTTGGTGGTTGTTGCTGAATTGTAAAACTACTGTTTACAGAGATATTTTAATGGTTTGTGAGCAAAGCTCATGATGTTCGTTCATTCCTTCATCAATCATTTAAGGGTTAAACTCCAGATCCTATTCTAGGTGATGTGTATAAAGAGGTACAAAAAACAGACAAGTTTCTCTGTTTTCATGGACATAATCTTTTCACATAGAGACAAGTGAGTAGTCAAGTAACAAGTAAGAATATAAGTACAGTAAACAACCAGCAGATAACTAAGGCTACTCTGGTCAGTGAAGACCTTTGAGAAGATATGACTTGAACAAGAGGTAAAATTCAAGCATGTGAAAATCTGGGAGGCAGGATGTTTTAGGCAGAGGGATGAAGGAGCAAAAAGGCATGAATGATAAGTCTGAAGAAGAGATTAGTGTTAAATAGGGAAAAAGTATGCAAATTTGATCTGAACAACATGATTTTTAGTTCTGCAATTATGAATTCTATCACTAGAATTTTTTAATGCTTTCTTTATGCATATAAACAAAACATTGAATGGGACAGTAACTGTAGTCCAAGAGTTTTGTTCCAGTTCCAAGGAGGTCCTAGAATGGCATCTTTCAGAATTTATAAAAAAGTGGTCCATCTGGTCCTGGAGTCATTTATCTAACCACTTCTATCTTATTTACAGTCAAAAAGGAGTCATTGCAATAATGAGTTACAGGTTCAGAGGGAATGCACTGCTTTCTTCTTATCCTTCCCCCACAGTAAAATTATTCTCCCGGGAGAATTCTGAAGGCCCATGATGACCTGTCATCAAAGTTTGGCTGGCTTGTACTCCCTCTGCTTGGCAAAGCAAGACCAATTCTCTTCTATATTCATGTGTGTATGTGCACACATCGAAAATATAGCCTGCTTGGACTGCTCTGAAGGTATCCTGCTCCGAAGGTATCCTGCACAGAAATGCAACTTTAAAAGTGCAGAAGAAAACAGTCTGCTGTCGGTGTCCACTAGTTCTACATTTATAAATTCAACCAACCATGCTTGTAAGATGTTCAGAAAAAAAAAAGAAAAACCCAAAATAAAAGAAAATTAAGAACTAAGCTGTATTTGTATTGCACAGGTACAGCCTTTTTCTTGTCATTTTTTAAAAAATATAGTATGACAACTGTTCATGTAGTATCTGTATTTAGGTATTATAAGTAACTGATGATTTAAAGTACACTGGAAGTTATGCATAGGTTATATGCAAATATTGTGCCATTTCATAGAAGAGACTTGATATACCTAAAGGAATACTTTGTTAAAAGGAGGTTGGTCAGCAGTAAAAGCACAGAAAAGGCAACAGTTTGCTGCCTGCTTTGTTCAGTGGAAAGAGCAAAGGATCACACATTTCCAAAACACAGAAGAAATGTATAGTAGTCATTACAGTGTCAGTGATATCATCCAACTCTCAATCTAATCCATTCTCATCAAGTATGACTTGATTCTGACATCATTCTTTAACTCCATTCTGACATCATTCTTTAACTTTCTATGTAAGTATGCAAAAATAGGGGAAAAAGTAAAGATCACGAAGCGAGTGTTTGATTCATTTATTAGTTGTACTTATTATATTATTTTATATATCAATCTCTGTGACTTTAATGCACAATGTCTGCTGTGGACAATGAGTTGTTCTGGTGGTATCAAAACTCAGATTTGTCTTGCAAGACTGAGAGATATAAGCCACACCACATAAATTCACAAGGATACTGCTATCTGAGAGGGTCTGAGGACTTGCTAGATTTTTTCCTTTTCTTTATACCATAATGGGCAAAAAGCCAACCACTCAAATGGACACCAATTGTACAATAAAACATTAAATTCATGCAGTTTTTGCACAACTCTTAAATATTTGCATTTGACTAATACTTCTGGACTGAAAAGTTTGGAGAGACAATGCCACTAGGCAGCTGAGGCAACAGAACTATGGCAGTATTTCATGACAGTTACAGAATTATTATTGGCTCTTTCGATACTGTCTACTTAACTCATTTGCACGGACATAATCAAAATTTATTTGGAAACACAATAATTACTAGTAATACACCTCCCCCTTGAGCATACTCTTTTCTGCCAATAAACAGCAAAGAAAACATGAAAGACTTACATGGCACAGTAGTTCCAAATCTAGTGGGATTCAATACTATGAATCTGTTTTTCAAGCTTCTTCGGCCCACACCTTGAGCTCCTATCAATACTAACGTTTTTCTCTGGAAGGGGGGCATTTTGGCTACCTCCTCATATATTTGGATTTCATGACGATCAAATTCTAATTGTGAAGGAAAATGGGAAAACATTATATTCAATTATATTTTATATATATCAAAACCCTCTGCTATTCTGTCCAACAATAGTTTAGTTGTCTTGAGAAGTCACTTGAATTGTGCCCACTTAGCACAAATTTGTTTTTCACAAATTTGATAATGTCCAGTAAATTGTTTTGTATCTTGATTTAAACATCTGTTCCCATGTATTTGTCCTTAAAATTTTATCTAACAAAGCCAGAAAAATTCCCATGTTTAATCCTAATTATCAAATAGTATATACACTACTCCTTATTATCCATTTATTAGTATAAAGAACTGTTCTAGTAAAAATAATAGATTGAGGACCATCTCATATAATTTACAACTAGAAAGTGCACATCAGGTATGGAGGACAGGAGTACATTGAGCATAGCTGCTTAAACGGCATACAATGTTTCCAGTGACACAAATGAATACTGTTTAAAATTCATACAGACAACATACTAATATTTAAATATTAAGATTCTAAAATTTATGTACAAAATAAAATATTAGATCCAAATTATATTCAGTAAAAACAAATTCTAAAATATCTCAGTCAATGAGAAAATTATAAATTTTCTGTTTTGCAAAAAGTTTTAGGGCATTTTTATTGAATAATACAACAAGTGAGTTAAAAATATTATCTATCATTATGGCTACAGATAATTAACTGAGGTCATAACACTCCTTCTGTAGGTTACTATCTCAACTATTCTTTCTCTGCACAGTTTCTTCACAGATTAAACCAGTGTCAGGAGAGAAAAGGCCTGTGCCTCCCTCCTATATTATTTCCTTGTGTTAGCTTCTTTAGTTTATTACCAGTATAGATGTATGTTTTAAGTTTACCAGTATAGACACTGCTCTTAAGTGAAGAAAGTACTTTATATAATTCCCATATTTATCTTTTTTTTAAACAGGTAAAGTGTACCCAATCTAGGTCTCAGGTTTTACTAATTTAAAAAAACCCTTTTCCATCTTATTGAGGTATATTTGACAAGTACAAATTATATATATTTAAAGTACACAACTTGATGTACTGATACATGTATACACTGCAAAATGATCCTATAATCAAGCTAATCAGCATATCCATCATCTACACAATTATCATTTCTTTCTTTTAAAACATCTTCAAGACTAAAAAATTTAAGAAAGAATCCTTTTAGATTAGACTAAATCTGGCCCACTGCTATTTTCCCAAAAGTCTCCGGGACAGTGTTAAAGCAAGATCTACTAGTCTTTAATCCTAGCTCTTTTAGTATCTTCATAAAGGCATTCTGCCCATTAGGAAATGGTCATTAATTACTGTTTTCAAAATTCTCTGAACAGTTTCAATATTTATGAGATTGCTCCTCCATTAACACATGTATAAATCCTAACCAATTCATTTTGTTATAAAGTATACTCACAAAATAAAACATATTAATATATATAATATCAAGATTTAAATAATTTCCTTTTATTATTGTTAACATGCCATATCCTTACAATTAGATATTAATTTGATTTATATTCATTTTAAATTCATATTTAGAGCTTATACCATATTAATTAACAATATAAACTACCATGACTTTTCAAAAAAGTATTTAGAACCTACCTGCGTTTCTGGTTGTGAGATACATCATCTTTTTCTTTTTTTTGCTACTTATAGTTCCGCAAAAAGGGCCTGAAGAATGATAAGACCAATGTCACTTAAATAATATGATAAAACTGCCCTGTCATATACTATGGTAAGGAAAATAATTTTCCCAGTGTCTCATCCTAGGAAACCCCCAGGGGCCAAGGTAGGTGAAACCACTGACTACTATTATTCTACCAGTAGGTGGCAGAAAGGGACAAAAATATTACTTTTGAGAGACACAGCAGATGACAGGGATTCATTCTGGATATACTTTAAATAAATTCATTCATTCACTTAAGACAAAAGAGGCAAAAAAAGGTAAGCACAAAGAGCTGCTTGTTGCTTGTACGGAGCGCATCACCTGAATTGTCCCAGTCTCTTCTAACAAATGCTTTTCTCTTCTCTTCCAGGAACTGGCTTGGAATGAGACCAGCACTTCCTCCCTCTTTCACATGGCTAGCCTAGAAAGAAATCAAAGCATTTTATATATCAGTCACCAAATTTGAAACCATTTTCTAGTTCTAGTAAGGCAGGCAGTGGCTAGAAAAAAACAGTCACATTTGCTTTGAAAAACAACTGTTAGATTTAAGTCCATGGTATTGTTGGTTAAAATATTTAAACACTTTAGGATTTAGGAATCAATTTGTACCTAAAATTCTTTGTACTGTATATGGCATCTAGTAGTGGAATTTTGAGACCAAAATACAAAGGTACATACAGGTTTCCTTAAATTACTAAAGCTTTTTATTTATACAACTTAGACCAAGAAGAGAAAGAAATAAATGCTATTTTATAGTATGATGTATTAAGAGGAAATTTCAACTAGTATTCTTTAGTCAGCCATTTACTAACAACCTTAATCATCTGTGTATTTCCTCAGACAAAAATCAATGAAAAGGAGACAATATGAGGAATGCAGGAAGTAGATTTTAATTCACACTAATAAGAATCTGAGTATCTTATTGAGGTAGGAAAATGGTGGTTTGAGAACTGGGTATTAGTGGTTTATCTCACAAAGTTAGTATCTTATCCTTATTACTGGCATAGAAAATCTGGTGTCATTTTTAGCAATACTGAAAATAAGACTTAAAATAATAGAATACTAAAGAAGAGACTGAGAAAAATGGTGACAGGATCAGAAATGAATACTAAGAGATAATCATTCATAGAAAAAAAAGAGAGGAAAAATTCAATAAAGAGAGCAGCTACAGAAAGCAGATTTTTTAAATGACAGTTCTAAGAAATTGAGTGGATACCTCTCAAAATCATGATTCTGTTTAACTGGCCCATTTCTTAAGTGTACTCATCACACAGTACTCTTATATATAATAATTTAAATTTCAGAAACACTAGTAAGATTATTTTGTGAACTGTTTCCCCTTAGAAGTCAATGTAATGTACTAGAGCTAATGTGAGTTTTCAGCAGTATCTCAGTCAATTTTAGAATTTAGTGTTACATTGTCCTTGTCCTTTCCCCTTACACCTTGTTCTTTAGGGAGATTCTCATTTGCTCTGATAGTTTAAAAGATTTCTGACTTGTCAATTTCTCCAATTCTCAACATTGGTTGTTAGCTGATGTAAAAAATTACCAAAATAGACCTAGTCCTTCTAGGGACTTCTGAAAACAGTATTAGGTGAAAGGAAAAAAAATTCACATACATTTCTGGAAAATGGGGTGGAGAAAAAATGATAATATGCATCTCTATCCATATACACAGGTTATAATCTAAGTCAAAACAAAACTGATAGAGCAAACCTTCATTTCTCAATAAGTGAGAGATGGGCCAACAGATTTATGATCCTAAGAAATTATGCTTTAAAATTTGTCATGAACATATACAGAGGCAGAAAAGACAAAGAGTCGTCATTAACCCAAAACCGAACATTGATAAGGGATGACCCCAAGTAAGTTTTTCTTGCATAAGAGCATAAGTTAATATAGTCACTCAAGTAAAAGAACCAAGTAGCCAAATCCCTAAACCAACAGGAAAGTACCACAGGTAGGTTAATTCTGCATTTATTATAAACTACTCACAAATCCCTCTCAATTTGGTCTTCTGTCCACAAAATTAGTAGCCATGAAGCAGGAGCTGTTCATGCTGGAAAAATCATTGAACAAATGCTAATACTTTCTTCCTGAATATTCAGATACTGGCCAGATCTAAGATTAAAAATAGAAAAGCAGTTATGGAACTTTTGAGAAGCATACTAACCTGCCACCAATTTGGATCTTCTCTGTTTACAATCTGAAGAATTTCTCCTTTGGAAAACTTCAGTCCTGCTTCTTTGCAGGGAATCAGGTTATCATTGTATGGATTATAATCAAAATGACACTTCACAAATACCTAAAACACACAGCACAATGAAAAATACTACAGATGTTATCATCTATCCCTGGACTTTTGAAATCCTTTTCAAACCACTGTGATTTAATTGTAACTGACAAGTATTTAGTACTTCTGATAAGTAACTTCTCTATAAATAAAACTCAAACTATTAAAAGATTAATAGAATAACTGGCATCAGAACAAGTGTTTATACGTTAGCTTCTAATTTTAAGTCAACAGCTTGACAATCATTCTATTCCACCATTTTTCCACTTGAATATCTAACCACAACTGTGTAGTTTGTAATGCAAATAAATGTTATTTTCCAATTAACATCTTGAAATAATATATTCAGCTGATTGAAGGCATGTATTTCAAATATTTTAGGACTGACTTTGTGAAGGGGCCCTGAAATAAAAATTAACACATGTTCTGTCAAAGTCAGATATAAAATATATTTGGTAATCTTAAAGAATTTCTTTTCTTTTTCTTTTTTTCGAGACAGGGTCTCATTATGCAGTTCAGGCTGGTCTTGAACTATGTACTCCAGGCTGGCTTCAAACTTGTGGTGATCCTCTTGTCTTGGCCTCCTGAGGGCTGGGATTACAGGTGTGTGCCACCCAGCGAAAAACTTCACTTTATTCTTTTTTAAAATTTATTTTAAAAATAAAAGAATGAAAACATATTAACAGACATCTATTTACAAAATAGCATAAGAACAATACAAGCAATACTGAATTACAAAGTGATAGGAAATTAGCAATGATTATTGTATTACATATTGATATCTTCAAAGCAGTTTCTCAGGAAAACAAATATAGACAGGCAAGAATGATCAATTAACTGTTCCTTTCAGTAAAGCGATAGAAGTCAGTAGTACAACTATGTTAGCTATCCTGTATATACATACATAATTTCCCCTTCTTTCTTTTCTCTTTTCCCTCATCCCAGTTGCTCTTTACTTTTGAGCAATTTCCTTTCGTTTCACAATGTCTATCATACCTCCTAATTCTTATTCACTTTTTCAGGTTCTTACACTAGTGAGACAATATGTTGCTCATACATGCAGGTCTGATCTATTTCACTTATGAGTATGGTCATCCACTTTAATCTCTAGTAATATTTTTAAGGCAGAATTACATTGGCCAAAACAATAACAAAATGTTCTTTTGAAATTATCTTACTCTGATTTATATAATTAAATTTGAAAGATCAGTATTAAATTAATTGTAAGACCAATTATTGAAAAAGCCTTTTAACTCTTCCCCAATTTAAACTCATTTAAATATGGACACATCTTCTACATTTGCTTTATTAATAAAAGTCAGTTACTACTGTTGGCTGAGGTTTCTAATATTTGAAATACTTTATTAACTTCCATTTGAATTCTAATTAAACATATTGCATAAACACTTTGAGACTTGATGGTAAGTTCAGATCAACTGCTTTCTTAAATATGCTAGTTTCATACATATTTATAGAAATTCAAATTTATATTCTAAACAGCCTTAGCATTAGTCAGTCGAAAAACATTAAGAAGCAGGAAAGCACATGGTTAGTTAAAAATACCAATGTTACTTTCCTCTTTATCATATTTCTTTTTTTTTTTTTTTTTTTTTTTTTTTTGGTACCGGGAACCGAACTCATGACCTTGCGCTTGCCAGGCAGGCGCTTTTGCCACTGAGCTAAATCCCCAGCCCCTATCATATTTCTATAACTATAACCAGACAAGAAATTCAAGTAGTACAAGCAGACATTAGTGTGGTGAAAACTAACATGACTGATGCATACTAAAATAATTACAATAAGTTTGGGGCCATGATAAAAGTTTAGTTATTTCAATTAGATGATTTTAATAGCAAGCATTGAGAACATTTTCAATAACTTTGAAAATGGTAAAAATTGATGCTTCTTCCTAATATAGAGTTTTAGAAGTATCTAAAAGCAAGCATTCAAAGCCTATTAGGATTACTAAAATGTGACAGCTGGCTAACTTGACAATGGCATGCTGGCTCAACGTTTTGGCAATGGAAAAAAATAAATTTAACCAATGTAAATTTAACCAATGTAAAAACAATACCAGAGAATATTCTGGAATAACATCATACCTGACAGATGTGTGCTGGAAGCCTCTCCATATTGATGCAACTCTAAAAATATACTTTCAATTGCATAAATAAAACCAGACTTCTAATGTATGTATACTAAGTTAAAATATAAACAAGCTATTGGTCTATTTTTATTACTTCACTCATTTGGTAAAGCAACTACCTCCCTAATTACTTGTCCACAGGTTCTGTAATAACCGTCAATTGTAAATTATAGAAGCGAAAGAGGCATTTTCAATGAAATAGAGGAAAAGCTTTTAAAAGTTACTAAAAAATCCTCCATATTCCATATTTCTCAAGAAAGGTGCAATGAATGAAGAACTGTATTTTGTCATATAAGCATACATTTATTATTCTTATATTTGGGACAAAATATACTTTGTAACCATAAAGTTATCTTAGTATAAACGTCAAATATTCTCTCCCCACTTCCCTCAAATTATTCTAGAAATTGCCATTGTTTGTAGAATACAAACTACACTTCTCAAATATAAAAGATTTCTAGGAGGAATGATTCTTTTTCATTTATCAAACTAATTTTGGAACATACCCTTACGTTAAAACAATACCAGATTAACCTGTCTTACTCAGATTAACCTGTCTTACTTTTTGTAAAATTTGTCTGAAAAATCAATTGACCTAACCTTTGATCTAAGTATTTTGTAATGACTTTAGAATCACTAAAGAGTTGATTAAACTTAGCATAACTATATTTATTAAATATATCTTAAAATCTTTCACTTCTAGAGTATCAATGTTAACTGTTCATTCATTAGTTACTGAACATCATCTACTAACATCTTTTAATTTCCTATTATTAAAAGAACTACATGACCAACAAAGTAGATAGAGACAGAAAAAAGGGAAGTACAAACAGCTTTTAAACAGAGACTTTTCAATCTGATTCACAGTAGAAATAAAAATTAAAACTATATCATATTAAGAAAACATTTTTTCCCTATCTGATTAACAGAAATTCAAACATTTGATACATTCTGCAGATACAACTATGGGTTAGTTAGGCATTTTTCTAACAAGCTTGTGAAAGAATGGTTTAATCCTTTGGGAGGACAATTTGGTAATAGCTATCAAGATTACAACTGCATAAACTCTCTGACCTAATAATCAACTTCTGGGAATGGATTTAAGCTGTGTTACTCAGATACAAGCAAAATAGTTTGCGTAAAAGACTACTAGCTACTGAATTATTCCTAATAGCAAAAGATTAGAAGGAAATTAACTGTAACAATTGGGAATTGGTCAAACATCTGATGATAATATAACCCTACATAGCTGCTAAAAATTGTGTGAGTGTGTGAGTGCGTGTGTGCGTGTGTGTGTGTTTTTCATTGTAAATTATAGAAGTGTGTGTAAAGGCAATCTAAGTACCAATAGGGTAAAATCCTTAAGATACATGGTTAATTTAAAAAGAATAATGCTCAAAATAGCATGTAAAGTTTTCACAAAAAAGTGGTAGAAGGGAAATGAAAGTACGTGATTTTTTTTTTTTTTACTTGCATATAAAGAAACTCTGGAATGATAAACTAATAGCCTAATTTTTTACTGGGACAGTGGGGATTAGGTTGGTAGTGGAAAAGGATCAGGGGGAGACAACTGAATATGTATTTTTTATATTTCTGAAACATGGGAATGATTCATTTATTCTAAAATTACTTTTTAATAGAACAAGAACCATCTAAACTGAAACATCTTAAAAAAAACCATACAAAACATGGAACAATGTTTCTCAAGACCCTGAAAACCAGGCAAGGAAAATAAGGATCTCTAATAAAACATGGAAACAAGATAAACTGCACAACTGCAATTGTGCTGGAAGCCTCTCCATATTGATGTTCCTCCATAGTAACTCAGAGACTCTCACTGTAGTCTGATGGTCTCTCCTAGTTGAGGAGATCTGGGAGACCAGGGAGAGCAAGATGAGAACAATTTGCGGAACTTTATCAGTGAGGAAAGCTGCACAGGAGAGGGCTGGAGAACCACCAGGATTTCTGATCTTTAGCTAAACATGATGAGTACATGTACATCAAGAAGCTACCCATGGGGCCAGGGATTTAGCTCAATGGAGCAGTACCTTCCTGGTAAGCATGAGGTCATGAGCCTGATTCCTGGTACCAAAAAAAAAAAAAACAAAAAAAAAAAAACGAAGAAAAAGAAAATGAAAAGGTGCCCAGTGGCTCTTTCCTCACTGGTGGGTAAGAATCACTTCAAAGCATTACAGAGAACAGTACTAGGTCATCACATAGGGTCATGAATAGTTTTTGTTCTCACCAGACTAAATAAAAAAAAAAAATCTCAATTTCTGACGGGGGTATACACCCTAGACCTCCCCTTGTAGTTGCATCTATCAAAACATAACAAGCAAAAGATCAAATTACTCCCAAATAACATACTGCACCCTAGAGAAAAGCTTAAGGTTATTTTTAATATAAAAATATCCACTATCCAATAACTTAAAATTTGTGATGCATGGCAACCAATAAAAATGAACAAACAAACAAGGAACACGGAAACTATAACCTAGAACAAGAGAAAGAAGTCAGTTAAGAGCACCCTCAGAATGACAGCTATGACAGAATCAGCAGACAGTGCCAGTACAATAGTTATTTTAACTTTACATACTATATTCAAGAAACTACAGCAGTGGTAGTGAACCCATGGCACATGTGCCACAGTGGGATGCTTGTCAATGAATGCTCTAGAAGGTTTGCCATCACTGAAGTAGGGTAGGTACTGGGTATAAACACACAGGGGATATAAATAAAACTCAATTTGAAATTAGAGCTGAAACCCAAAATGTCTGAGATGAAAAAAAAAATCAAACATGATTAACAAGATTGTAGAAGAAAGATTAATAAACGTGAAGACATTGTGATAGATGGTGAACAAAGT